GAGTCGGAGCTCACATACAGACACGCACAGTCTAGCCCAGAAAACCTTCAGACCGATCGATGACGGTTTTCCGGCTACATTGCCCCTGGTAACTAATGTAACCCAACAAAGAATCATTGCATCTCTGGCGAATCACTACCTTGGCATTGGTCATTGTTCAAACCCGCCGGCCGAGCCCCAGAGGGTGACAAGGTGACAGGTTGTCGGATCATCATTTCAAACGAATAGGGAAAGGCCCTTGCTTGACCGTGATGTAGCATTCTCTGCCCTCGTCACGAGATGAAATCCCCTTCTTGCCATTCAGAGAAGCTTCGACTGGAGTTTACGCACAGACTAACACATGGCACAATGAGACATCGGATGGTTAAGGTTACAGAGAGGCCACACGTGAGGTATTCTTGATTGATTGCGTCCCAAGATCAGCTTCTGCGACTAATCCTTCAGAAATCCCACCGCTCGGTTGCCAACAAAGATGTTTGAAGCATTCCCAACTAGTTGCTCTACCTATAAACCACTGATTTCGGCAGAGTCGTGGTGAGATTTTGATGATATGCTGTTGGGACATCGCACTATTGTGCTAAATATGACTCCCGACTTGCTACTCGGAGTTCCCCAGGCCATTGCGTTTGTGTTCAGCGAGAGCTTAGAGCGCATTCCTCGCAACTCCTTCAGACACCGTCTGTCTCGCCTTGTAATCTTCAAAGCCCTCGAGACGACCGTATGCCCATGCTGCATGGGATTTTGAATGATAAACCTCAGACAGCCTTTTGACGCCAAGTAACGCGCATCCCACCGCCCTTTCGAACGGAATGAAACTTGCCATTGCTTTCCTGGAATCAGCATTATAACGACAATATTACTGAATGGCTCCTTGCAAAGGGAGATTCGTTTGTGGTAGTGTTCCGAAGTTCTGAAGCCAATTGGCCAGACCTCGCTTCAATGGCTGCGAGATGAGCGAACTGTGGGCGGAAACGATACAAAGAATAGCTGAGTGGCTATTCGAGGCCTTATCTTGCATGGATTTGATGGATATCCGGGGTTTACTCTCGTAGCAAAGAGGATTACGATTGGGTTCAAACACACTCAATGAAGATGCTCCAGTAACAAGCTTCTCTGTGATTTCATTGAGCTGTATCAGAGCACAGAGCAAAAGGTATCCGAATGTCATGCACTCCTTCGTCTCACAAAGACATGTCTGTCATTGCGACTTGAATTGTCGACGATCATACATCATACAATGCTGCCGGTGAAAGCATCCAGGAGACGCATGGTGACTGTGTCCTTCCGAAAGGGCTGTGCCTCAAATTCACCAAGGCCTGTCAGAGTCACACCTTGCTGATACGCCACGCAAGTGTGATCAACAGGCTTCAAATGAGGGAAACGTGGTATCACTCCATGTTCACATCGAGCTGTGGATCTTCGAGTTCGACTCAAGGTGATGGTATGGCTAGCTGAGAAGTATCTAGACTCTATGTTCCAAAGACCAAGTCGACTGCTTTCGTACCTACCCCATCCCTTGTTCACAATGTGCTGTGAAGTGCGCAGCGCACTTCGGACCGTTCTTTCTTTTCCTATCCAGCCCCAGATCTGCCAAGCCCGGATATTATTATGGACAAAGCCAGTCCAGAGGCATGATCAAAGAACGGCCCAAAGCAAATCCGTATCACCCATTAACCTTTCCACTCCCTTTTGCTTCCAAAGTTCCAAATCAATCCCTGCATCATCTGCGCAACATATGCCATCTCAAAGAACCTCGTTGACTCTGAGATCCTGAATGCTCTTGGGGAATCCCAAAGTGCTGACGGCCGGAACAGTCGAATTAGGATTGTCGTGGAATCCAAAGTCCGCAAGGTGAACGACGAGGGTCTTGAGCTTCTTGAAGCCGCAGAAGTCGGAGGGCTTGTAGGGCTCTTCGTCCTCGCGGATCGGCTTTCCGTCAGAGAGCCGGAACCGAAGTCGAAGGTCGACGAGAGAGTCAGAATACGACTTCAGGCGGTCGATTGTCTCAGCAGCAGTGACGAGGGCGATCTTGTCCTCGAACTTGGAGTTCACGACGTACTCGAACTCTTCCAATGGGAAGATGTCGTTTGTCAATTCAGACAAGACGTCTGTTGTCATCGTGCAGTCGATCAAGGAAACCTTCTTGGTGCTCCAGGTCTTTGGGAAGAAAGAGCCGCCAGCATCAGCCAGTACTAGTTCGCAGTTCCTGAGGCAAAGATCCGTGACTGTCGAGGGCATGCACAGATTGTAAAACAGCATGCCAGAGAGCCGGAAAGGTGTCTGGGCATCTTCTCCGTAGATGAAAAGTTTCTTCACTTGCTGGAAATGCTCTCGAACGCATGGAACGAAGTCGTTGCAACCCCTCGTCTGAGAGATATGAGCCTCCCATCCGGACAAGGGGCGGTCTTCTAAAATCTGGATGGAGAAATGCAATGTGGTCAAGTTAGGCAAATGCGCATAGAGAAGGTTTTGCAATGCGCGTTCGATGTCACAGTCGCGATCTATGATCTCCCTGACGGTTATCTTGGTGGTTTCCCAAATCGGATCTCGAGGCATGAAATAGAACCAAGGCAGTCGATCTTTGACGGTGTTGGTGAGGAAGTCCCAGTTTTCAATGCTGCAAGGCGTGCGGTATTCCTTGTAGTCGCGCCAGTTTCCGTCATCTGAATAGTATGTTTGAGCATGAGATATGCGCAGGCTTTGGACCTGCTGAGAGAGGGTGGGCTGAGAGACAAGGGCCCGGATCAGGGAGAAGAACTTTGTGTCGCTGAAGTTGTCCGCAACAATGAAGATCTGGCGATACAGGTAAGGTTTCGCGAGCTTGTGGAAGGCCTTTGACACTCTGCAGATGCTTAGAAGGGTGCTCTGGCATGCGATCCACTCCTTTTCGTTGAGTTCGTCATCATTGCATCGGAGTTGAGAACAGATCTGTTCAAAGACCTCTACGGGTATATCAGAGATTCCCGGCATTGTCTTGCTGTGGGCTGTTCAATCGTGAGCTTCAATCCTTTGGCTATCGGATGTAGTAATAGACACTGACAGGGAAACCATGAACAAAGTCTCTGGAAGCCGACGACAATGTGTCCGTGGGATCACGGCACGTAGCAGCAACTGCTGAGTGGGAGGTGAATGGGAATGCTATAGGGTAGAAAGCCTGACGATGGGAAAGTATGAGGGATTCCGTTCTGTTTCTGACGCGGAAAGATGTTAGCTTGGTCTGTCAGCAGTATCATGAAGGAATCTTGTACCTGATGTGGGCTTCTTCCGCCGTGCAGCTGCTTTCTTACGTAGGAGGAATATCGATGGAGGACCGGAATGCCTCGATGAGTCTCCCTGGTTGGAGATGTAGAGGAGAGAAAGGAGACACTGGGTGTGGTGTGTGATGGGCAAGAAAGGAAGGGCTCTTCTGCTCTGGGGAAGGAAGTCCAGGGCAAAAATTGTGCCTTGCTTGGGAAGGAACAGGTCCGGTTACTCCTACCCTAAGATGATGTACTCAAAAAAGAATTTGAAAAGGGAAAAGCACGTGATGCCAGAGACTGAATGAATATAGGTGTTTGTATATTCAGGGTGTAAAGGTGAAGCCGTGATTCTGGATGGTTGCCGGGACAGCAAGCTGGTCTGTCAATATGAGCTCAAGGAAGGAGCCACTGGGTCTCTCCTGGGCGCTTGGAAAAGCAACTTCTCAAGTGACTGATTTCAAACCACATTCAACTTACCTTCCGCGAATACGTAGGCCTTACCAATCAGGTGAGCTACTCAGAAGACATCGAATTTAGCTGAAAACCCGAGGTTTCAATTCGCCAAACACATCAAAGTTCGCGGCGGTGCAAGGTGTAGGATGCTACTGAGGTGCGCCATCTTTGATAGCATCGTCGATTGTGTATGGTGTCGGATACTATTCAGGCATTTCACTGCACCTCATATGCGCCAGCCACAGAATAAACTTGACAGATTGCTGTCGAGGTATTAATTCTGTAAATTTGAACAATCATCTATGAACTTCTCTCGCATATGAGTCTCCTGTATCGCCAGCTTTCTAAAGTTATGACATAAAGCAAAGTAGTAAGACAACGGAAGGGAAACTTGAAGAGTGTTAAGTACTGATCACGGCTGACACTCCGGAGCCGTCGTGATATGACTGATAGGCAGTTCCTGCTCACTCCCATTACATTGGACGATCTGTGATTCCATGTCTTTATGTCTGATTTCAGCTCCCTCATCTTGATACTTAAGATACAGAACATCTGCTTTAACGCGTGTTTGGTCACTTGCAATGCTGAACAGAGCAGGATATCATCTAGGTAAGGCATGGCTTATCAGACTTAAACCTCGAAGGGAAGGCGGTCTCAGTCGTGCCTTCCGCACGTGATGCTACAACTTCCATCTGAATACACAAGAAGGGTATATACCCCCCTTCCACTCCATTTCCGTCACCAGCACAGCAGGCGCCTCCTAGGTCGGAGGTCAGGTCAAACTGTGGCGTGGTGGTGGAATGGTTAATGGTCAACAATTAATATTCACACCAACCAGCCTACTCGACGACAGGCTCAGCGCATACGAGTTCGAATCTCAGCACGAGCACCAATTATTCCCAGCATGAGCGCCAAGAGATGTAGCCCCCAATCCAGCACCGGGGGGGTGAACTCTTTTTTTCTTATTTATTTTTCCAAGCCTTCTATTCTATTTGTAAACGAAATCACGTGTCTGTGACATTCTCTGAGAAATTTCATAGACATGTCTGCTAGCTGAACAGGGCTTGGTCTTGTGTAAAGCGACAATCGAATGCAGAAGAACACTGAGCTTGAGGTGTGTATAAGGATCAAAGCTGTTGTTTGATTCGATTTCGGCGTTAAGAACACACGGAGCCTCTTCTCCTCCGTGTTGCCCATGGGCTGTGGCAGGTTTCCCATAGAGAAGGGTTACGACTGTGCTCGTCGCCATGACTAAGCGGAAGGAAATCTGCTAGACCAGCTCCGATGACATAAGTCGCGGAGGGCATAATGGCTCCGGTGTGAGCACATTACACCCCTGCCTGCCGAGCCATCGTGCGTCCGACATCTTCAGTGACACGTTCTAAGTGATGCAAGAATATAGCGATGCCTCACGTCGTTGGTCAGACGGCGTGGTGGAGCGCTCTGCTTGTGACTTGGGTGAAGCTCCTTATCAGATCGAGACTTGACGGATTGAAGACAGGGGCATCCAGCTATAAGTACGGCTGCTGTCTGCGAATATACTTCATTTACTCGCCAAACCAGACCAGTAAATCCTCTGAAGTCTTCGCTATTCGCGGAAATGGCCAAACTCTCTGCTACTTGGGTTCGACTTGCTTCGAACGACCGTCTCAGGCGTTCATCGCAAGCAGTCTCGGTAATCGGGAACCAAGCATTCGTCTTCGGTGGTGAACTCCTCCCACGAGAGCCCGTAGACAACCAACTAGATGTTGTCGAACTCCAGTCCGGAAAAGGTATAATCTCATGCTTATCCATCCATCCCCCCAACTTCCACCACTGACCGACCTTCTTTACCAGACTCGGCCTCCGCCAAGACCCTTTCCAACAACACCGAAGCACCCTCTTTAAGAGTCGGAGCCCCCAGCACAGCGCTGAAAGATGCCTTCTATCTCTTTTCCGGCCGCGGCGGCATCGCCATGGAACCCGTCGAGGAATCTGGCAGCGTCTGGAGATACACCCCATCTCAAGCTCGCTGGGAGCTCCTCAAGCCGACCGACGCAACGGCACCATACCCAGCCGGACGCAGCTACCACTGCACTGCTTCAGACGGTAACAAAACCATCTACATCCACGCAGGATGCCCAGAGAAAGGCCGCCTCGCCGACCTATGGTCCTTCAACATCGAGTCAAAGACATGGAAGGAGCTCGCTGCAGCACCTCCCCCAGCACGCGGCGGCGCGTCCATTGCCTTTTCCGGAGGCAAGTTATACCGTATCAATGGCTTCGATGGCACTTCCGAGCAAGGCGGTTCTCTTGATGTCTACGATCCCGCTTCCGCTGCGTGGTCTACGATTACCTACAAGCCGGATGGTGTTGAGGGCCCCGAGGCGCGAAGTGTATCAGCGCTCGTCGCGGTTGAAGTGAGCGGTAAGCCGTATCTTGTGACGCTGTTTGGCGAGCGTGATCCTAGTTCGTTGGGTCACGCTGGTGCTGGAAAGATGCTCTCGGACGTGTGGGGTTTCGATATTGAAGCCAACAAGTGGGAGAAGGTCTCGTTCGAGGGGGATGCGCCCCCGCCGAGGGGTTGGTTTGATGCAGACGTGGTGGTTGATGGAGTAAAGCAGGCTGTGGTTGTTCACGGAGGTCTTGCGGAAGACAACTCGAGGTTGGGAGACATCTGGAGGCTCGACTTTGTCTAGAATGTACCATCTTGATGGCCAGAGATCGGTGTTGCTAGTAGTGGTATTTTGAATTGGACTCGATGTCAGGAAGAGAGATTGGACGAAGAAAAAAACTACTCAACGTCCTTCACCATCCAGATTGACCCCTTCTCTTCTGTCGGATACACCCGGAACCCCAACTTCTCGTAGAACGGCACGACCTTGTCGTTCTCACCACCGACGCCGATATGCACGCCCTTGCCATAAAGCCTGTTGCCACTGGAGCCACCGTTGCGCTGATCGGCCTCTTTCAGACTCTCGACGAACTTGTCAATCAGCTTTCTTCCCCAGCCCTTGCCCTGCCACGGCTCCAGCAGGTCGATGTGCATCGTAGCTTTCCAGTTGCCCCAAAGCTCCTTCCTCTCCTCATCGAGCACCAGCCATGTCGGGTTGAAGGCCTGCTGCAGGAGAGCCTCCTCGTTCACCTCGCCCGTGTCTGGGAAGTTCCATGGTGCTTTCGTCTCGAGACTTTTAGGCTTTCTTCCGTCCAGCTCCTTAGACGTCTCCAGGACTTCTTTAATGTACCGGGGGTACGCGCTCGCAAAGTCGTTCACGTTGGGGCAGCCGATACAGTAGCCGACGCAGTTTCCCTCGCCATCGTCAAGGATATGGCAAGTCTCAGGTGACAGATGAGTGTATTGATGTGTCCATAGGTAAGGCGCGGTCCTGGTCGCTGCTTCGGAACGCTCGAGGGACGGTGGGAGCGTGGCGCGGCACTGGGTTCATTGTCAGTCGCTGCGGGACAAAGATAAGCCAAGATAAGGAGATATGAGACGCACGATATGACCCGTCGCATCAAAGTCAGTTGCCTTGTAGGGGCGGATGAAAGCCATGGTCGATGAGGTGAGCTGAAATGAGAGCCGTTGAGTTGAAAGTGAGAGGTTGCCGTTGACAGTGTAGTGATACCGGGGCCTGAATGGCCGGATGGCGGGGTAGCGGGGTAAATCGCTCCGGACCAGACTGGGGAGGATTGACCTGCTGCTGGAGTGACATTCGCGAGGCATCTCAAGCCTGGCGATCGCAGCAAAACTCAAGAGATACAACACCGTCTGTGTAAATGAGCGATACACAGCAGTGAGGCTGAAACCATCACCACAAATGATATGAGAGCATGAGAATGACGTCGGTCGGGGCTCCTGTTCACCGGGTGCCGTTCATTGAGCTTGGACAGGCATCTCGGCGCCGAAATAATCACCCCGCATTTCTGGTGTTCAATTGGGCTGGCCAGCTTCATCAAGTCTCATATTCCATAATCCCAAACAGGCCTCTTACGCATTTGATTGTATTCGCGGTCTTATATTCGTCAATAGAATGATTGTTTTCAGATTGGTGATGAGGTCCGCTCGAGGGTGTCAGTCGGAGACAAAGCCAGGCTTCGAAGTCATGGCCAAGGTTGTTCTTTCACAGTTTGTTTGAATTGTGTGCAGTACTCTTAGCCCTTGTTCGAATTGAGCCATATTGTCGACATGTCATGTATCTCCTTGCCTGTTCTGTAGTCGACTTCTTCAGTCCTTCAACCTAAGATCAAATGCTCCAGCTTGTCTACGACTACATAAGGCCGAATACCCAGGTGTCTAAGCCTCAAACCCCATAGCCCTCCGAGCATTTCATCCAATATGTCGCAATCAACGTCAACTCTCCAAAGCTGCCTCAAGAACTCAAAGGGGTCATCCTATCGAGTCGAAAAGAAGCGCGTCCGTTTCAATAGCCAAGACCAAGTGCGCACCTTCCAGCGTCGCTCCGATGAACTAACAACTCCGCCCAGGACTCCCACCGCATCCAAGACCGGCTCAGGCTTCGAAGATGATGACTACATTGTCGACCTGCACCTCGAGCAAGCCAAAATCCACAAGCGCATGTCTAGACAGAAGGCTATCATGGATAGAGACTTTCTCCGCAGGTTGCTCACCCCCGGCACAGAGCTATGCCAGTTGCTCCGGCAGACGCTTTACCAGCGAAGGAAGAAGAAGAATGCTTACTTGTACAGGCAGAAGAACCGACGTTCCCAGAATCTTCAAGGTAGAGTACGAGGTAGATGCCGTGTCAAGAAGCTTCACTGGGAGTTTGCGAAGAGGGTCAAGAACCGTCTTCAGCGAAGTGGTCGGTACATTGTTTCACTGCTCCAGTGTGGCTGGAACCTCAACACCAGATATCGGTCTTTGTGATGGAGCAATTGTAATTTGCTGTGAGTCGGTATGGTTTTGATTTCTCGCTTAGATTTCGTAGTTCAGAGTGAATATGAGCAAACTGTGAAGGCTCTCTTACAGTACAATAGCCTCGTGAAGTAAAAACTCACCACAAATTTGCAGCTGCCTGTGGCTTGCTGACCTTGTGCTTGATACCATGTTATCTTGAAGCTGCAGTACTACGTAGACCATCCAAACATGATACTTAACTTTGAAGAAATTTTCTATTCCAGAATGACGTTTAGTTGCGTCTGATATGCTCTACAACAGTGAAGTGAAGGTATAGAGATGTCGGCCCTGATGATGATAAGAAAACAAAGGCTGCATTCCTCAATTGCTGACTGTATGAATTCAAATAGCAGCGAATTGATCCAAGTTCAAATGACTTGCGGTTTTGAAGGAAATCCGCTTTAGTAAGAGGTCGCAATTTGTTCCTGCCTGCCCTCCGGAAAGGACGAGCTTGAGGAAGGTACGAAGGTAAAGTTTGGCAGGTGCCTTCCACTTTTCGCTCCTTCCATACACGAGGTGCTTTCGACTTCATTCCCGTCGATTCCATTCTCTTCCTCCCCTTACCTGCCTTTCCTTCTTTCCCCTAAACCATTGCAAAAGAGAACTTTTCCTTCTCACCATCATCATCCTATTCTGAGCCTTCGTCAAACAACACGGAGCAGGACACCCTCTCATCGCCGACAGAGGATTGTCTCGCAACAGCCAGGCAAATCTAAGCGTCATTCACAGCCCTCCCGTTGTCTGCCCTCGGCCAGGAAGAGGTAGAAAATACCCACTCTGCCCAGAGAATATGGAAGACTAACGAGTCCATAGCATCAAACCAGCCGTCTGCCTTGTTCTCTCGGATCCGCTCGGCCGTATAATCGTTACACCGTGTCACTCAGCCATCATGGCATCGATATCGAGCCTTCCTCCCGAGATGCTGGGTGAAATTGCCGCATGCTTTCAAGATGACAGCCCACTTAACGCACACAATGACTGGACAGCCGACCAGAAGACGCTCGCGATTCTTTCCAGGGTTTCGAAGTCATTCCAATATGCAGCCCAACCTCTTCTTTATCGCAACATCTATCTCGCCGTCCGGGACCCAGTCGGCATCAACATCTTGTCATTGATCAAGGTTCTTTATCATCGCCAGGACCTCCGCTCCAAGGTGAATAAAGTCCAGATACACTTTGAAAAGGCTTTCTCTTGCCACCTGGAGCGAACTACGGATGATGTCAAGAATCTACATGATATGGCTTGGAATATGGATCAGACAAACCTCTGCCGTGCACTGTATTGGAGCACAAAAGGTTCCTGGTTGTACAACAACGTACTATCTTCGCTACTCTTCAATCAGCTTCAAGGTGTATCTCAAGTCATGATCACTGGGCTAGATGGTCCGGACATAACAGACGACTATGGAGAATTCGACCACTTTGAAAATGCCTGGTCGGTCTTGCCATATCTCTGGATAGCGCCCTCTGAGACACCGGAGGCTTTGCTTCCGAACTTGGCTTTTCTTCGTCTGGACGCTCACGTCATTACAATCCCCGGAAGCTTAGAATTCCACTTGCTCGCTCGTCTCGCACCCAACCTCGAATCGATCTCAGGCTGCAGGTTCGAGAGCGTCCCGGCAGCGGCATTCAATGGATTCAAAAAGCTCAAGCACTTGTCTCTCGTGGATGCACCTCTAGAGCATGAGTGTTTTCCTAACGAGGAACCTCTTCTCGGGATTCCGCCTGGTCTACATTCTTTTCATTACATTGTGTGCGACAGGTCAAGGGATGAGCTGTACATATCCCCGATGAAGGCCCGACAGGCGCTGGCCCAACATTCAGATACTCTGATTTCCATTTCTCTTCAATTCTCTCTGGATAGAGAAATGGAGGACGAGTGGTTCGACACTTTCGAAATGTTCAAAAACCTTGAGCATCTCTCGGTGAATCCATCGGACTTTGCGATGAAGTTTTACAATGGCTTGGGCCCAAATGCGTTCATCACATCATTACCTCGATCGCTTCGAAGCTTAACCCTTTTAAGCCAGGATCATCTGGAATACCAGGATATCGAATGGCTTGCCGATGCCCTCCAGCATGGTGACTTTGAGAATCTCGAAAGCTTCACCATCTACGTTCATGACAAAGACAGTGACTCCTTCTACACCAACTTGGGAGAAACTTGGCGTGGAATCGAGAAGCCAGAGGTAGAGGAGGAAGACGCTTTCTTCCGTGTCACAGTGATTTCTGAGACCACATCGAGGGAATTGTGGTGTTATTGGTGATGGACTTCACTGCTCCAGTCTTTCAGCCTGGCATATGGTTGAGTTGCATCGCTCCGCTCTTTGTATGAAACAGAGGAGGAAATATCAGACTAGCACAGAATACTTGTCGGGTTTGGAGCCCCAGACTTCGGAGAACATAATGAATGTCTTAACTACGTTGCTCGAATTGAAACGCGGCGCTTCGACGTTAATAGCATTGAAAAAGTTGTGAGTGGCGGATAATTATGCGCATAGAGTAATTACTTATTGAGGTTAGGCAAATGGTCCTCTCAATGTCAACGGTCTCCGTTCATGGCCTGGATGTTAATTCGTGATGATCCATCTACGGTGATCATAACTCCATGCATGCCGGCTATGATGGGAACTTCAGCTGCGCTCGATCTCAGCAGTCGGGCTCAGTTCTCTTCCAGATCTTCGGCGACAAGCCCGGCGATGCGGTCCTTGGCTAGACGATCCCTCTGGCAGGACCCAAGTCTCCAAACAGTGGCTGACAGTAAGCCGGTCTTGGCGCACGCAGCGCTCGGTAGCTTGATTCAGATGCCACCCTAGGCGCGGGTACCTAGTTATGCTTGTTCTCACTCCGGGGCAAGGATTGTCCAATTAAGGGCTGGCTCTATTCTGGTGGCTGCGTAAGATGGGCTAGACCTTCAGCCCAACGTTGATCCCACCCGGGCGGGTCGTCGAAGGATCGTCAGGCTACGAAATTAGAGGCTGACATGCAGTAGATTTACAGACCTTGGAGGCAAGGGTGTGTCTGCTCCGTGTCCGTGTCCGTGTAGGAGCATGTGGCGGAAAAGCATCTCTTAAATCTCTGTTCACCTCCCGCTCGCGTGCTCACGTTTCTCAAGGTTCAGGAAATTCGGGTAGGAATACGGTCGGTTCTTTTGCCATGGCTTCGAAAATTGAGTACAGCTCCCTCCAACGGGAGACTTCCGATGACGACCGGGCCTCTGCCGAAAAGAACATGCCGCAAAGTGGGTCTTTGCCGCCGGACGGACAGCTACACTATGGCGGAACCACGGCCGAACGTATGTTTAGGTTCCAGGACTTCAAGTTTCTCAAGATTTATATCTCTTGCATCTCGGTATACCTTCTTGCTGCGGTGGCGGCGGTTGTCTGGTCGTATCAGGGACCCGCGGTGGACAGAGATTACTACATGCAACGCGTCTTTCGCACGCCAGACTCTTTGAAGGTCGACCAGCTTTACTCTGGTATCGCCCTCTCAGCACTACTTGCCCCGGCGGGCATGTTGGTCCAATGGATCATGCACGACTTTCGACACCTTCGACTCTTTGCTCTCACGGCGCAGCGGCCTGTCCTCTTGGCGGACTTGGACAAGATAGGAGACGACTCGAGTGCTTGGACGCTGCGGATTCTGGGGAAATACTCGTGGTGGTATGCTGTCATGCAGGCCGCGCTCATCGTCATCCGCACCTCGATCGTTCCCGTCGGTACCCTTATGCTCACCACCGGAGCCTTTTACGAAAACATCACCGGGGTTGACGTTGTGGGAATGCCCATCCTTCCTTCAAACGACTCGTCTGTTACGAGATTGGCCAACGCGATGGGCTGGGACGGGCAGGGAACCTTCAAGCAGACTCTTGATGACAACGACAACTTCCTTTCGCGAACCGTCTACACCTTTGTTGGGAACATCGTCAGCCAAAGTGCGCTCGTCGACGTCTTCTCTGGCGTCATTGGCCCCATTCCGACGCACAACCTGACCTTCAACGTTAACACGACCTACCACGGCCTTATCTTGTACCACTGGGATGCCAACTGCGAAGCAGCATCCGAAATACCATTCACCACCTCCGTCAACGGCGGCAACGCTTCATACACCTTTACACTTCCCGATTCCACCAACCAGACGATCGATCTCACCCCCAGAAAACAGGAATCGCAGAGCCTGCGCCTCTGGAACAGCGCAGCCAACAACTCCATCAACAACGTTCCTATCGGTGGCACCACATACTTCATCTCCGCGGGCCCCTCCTCGTCCCTCAAGGCCGAGACTCACACCAATGATAGCAGCCTTACACAGACTGCCGAGGGCCACTGGATCTCCCGCACCAAGTGCACTCCCGAGTTCTCATGGGAAGTCGGCGCCTGCACGTTCAACGGCACCTTGATGACGGATTGCGTGGGCAACCCAGGATCGAACACCACCGCCATCGATACGGCGGCACTTAACGTTCTGAAGGACTACATGACTGCTATTCCTTGGTGGATCTTCCGCGAGCAGCTCCAAATCGTTGACAAAACGATCGATACTTTGTACGCGATCCCCACATCAGCAGACTGGGGCCACTTCTTTGGCAATATTGCACAGTCCATCGCCGCCATCTCGACAGCAGGGTACTTTGGCACCGCCAGCGTGCCTGCAGTGGCAAGGGTCAAGGAGGACGTGTACATCATGCGGACAGTGGTGCTGTGGATCGTGCTGGCGATGCTGAGCGTCGTCTTCTCTGTCAGTTGTCTGGATATCTGGAGGAGCAAGTCGCGCGGTCTGCCGTTCAGAGCAGCGACTTTCTTGGCTATTGCCAATGCCGTCAGAGGACCGTGGTGGGACCAGGAGTTGCATGGAAGCTGTGCTGCTGATGAGGTGACGATGCAGAAGAGAAGTTCAGCATCGGTCATGTTTGGGGTTGATGCGAATAATCCGTACCATCTGGGGTTGCTGCCGGCGGTGCTACCGATTCAGCGGGATAGACCGTACTTTGGCATCGGGAGACGCAAGGGACCTGAAAAATCATAGCCAACTCGTAAATTACATCTAATGATTCAACCTGATGTGAGGCATCGACGTTGACGTGTGCTCTTGTTCATGTCTAGTGATCTCATCCCACTTCATCTACACGCCTAACTCCAGTCACCACCTCCTATCCCTTCCAGCCTTTATACTCCTCTAGAAAACATCATCTACAGTCCTCCCGTTTTATCAAAATCACTTGCGAACTTCCCCTAGAGGAATGCCCATCCCGTGACGCCCACTGTACTTGGAAACCTCGGCCGGCTTCCAGCCATCACGCTGCAGGAGACTCTCGTCCTCGAGACGGAATACCTCGACCTTGAGCGGGCGACAGCACTTGATCATCTCCTCCTCGCTGTCCTCGCCGAAGCCCCAAAGCGAGAGGTCACCACCAGGGCAGGTGCCTACGAGATCAGTCAATCATTTGTTCACATCTGTGAGGTCACCAACACCAATCCAGGCTGTTGAAGCCAATGTCGTCGCAGCGCAGACCCGCTCACAAGGAGAGGGGGTAACACTTACTCAGAGCCATCAAAAGATCCTGCTCAGCCAAAAACTCAAGGTGATCACCAGGTTGCGCAGGGCAGGGATTCATAAAGTACCGCCCCTGCTCATCCAAACCGGTTACTTGGAAAATGTTGATTACATCATGGACATCCTGCTCGTTCAGCCCGTACGGCAGCACCGCGCGCGTCAAGTTGGAATGACACTGGAAGTTGTAGTTGCCGCCGCTGAGAACCGTGTTGATGTACGGATCGCACCGCGTGCCGAGGAGATCGTGCACACGCCCGCCGTGCTCATCCTCGCCGTACCAATCCAGAGAGTCCTTGATGATGGTGGCCAGCGGGCGCATGTAAGGCAAGTTGGACCAGAGGCGGTCGCCGGTCGAAACATGGCTGGCGTGGAGTTGCTTGGTGCGACTCGCCCAGAAGCGTTCGCGGGGGTTGTGCGCATTCCAAATGTTCAAGTCACCTGTGGCCGGAATGAGCGCCCCTCGCTGTGAGAGAATGAGTCTTTATCTTCCATCTTTGGGACGTACCGACTTGAGGACCTTCTGGCGTGCTGATCCTCACAATTGAACCGGCGGGTGCTTTCCATGCTCTTCCTGACCGAATCGGCAGCGTAAACTCTTCAATCAACACTCTCTTGGCCTGCTGCGCGGATCCGTACAGCTCCTTGTCGACTGTGAGCACCGAGCCGGCGGTCGGGAGATAAGCCGGAACGGGTTTCGGGATCGGCTTCCGATCTTTGAGACGCTGCGCGGGATCCATGTCGGCGGCTGACATTGTGTAATTTCTGTTGGCAATTCGGTCGAGCGAGGGAGAGGGGAACTTGGCAGAGCGACTTTGAGTAAAAAGGGAACGCGAATAGCTTGCACACCATGGACAGAAGACGACTGAAGTTCTTATATCATGGTGCTAATCGCATGCCCGATACCATCAACCGGATGAACCCCGCTACTTTGGCACTTTGGATACACAAAGTTCCTTACGTAAAGCTCAACTTTGGAGCTGATCAAGGCAAGAGACTCCGACAGTGAGGTGACGGCCGATGCCGGTCCTTCAGTCGTGCTGTCTCCACTTCTCCAACGCCGGCAACTCTCTGCGAAGTGCGCTTGTTATCAAAAATGCGTATCAAACGAACTACATTTATATGTCTTGTGAAAGAAATTACTGCGCAAATTCAACTGTACTCACTCACTGCCTGAGCAACTTATATATCTTCAGCTTCGTTATTTCAAAAGCTCAAATGCGCTCAGCTGTAGACGCTTCAGATGTGAAAGAGTTGGACAAGTGGAGCACAATCGCGAATCGGCCTCATGCGCGAGCTGATCGATGAGATCCCAAAACAAAAGATATCACTCGACAACTGGAGCTGCGAATTGCCTCGTGGCGGAATCGAACCGCCGATCTTCTCATGTCACTAATACTAGTGAGACGCTATACCACTTAGCCAACAAGGCTTGACGTCTGGGACGAAGCGTGCTGCTAAGGACCCTCAGAGTCAAGCTGGCTCGGTGGGCCACGACTGACGATCGAGACCAGAACGACGGCAGATGGAGTCGGGTGATGCATTCTCAGTGACTGACAGGCTTTTGGCTCACTCAAATTACAAACAAACTTGGAGAAAGTCTCAAAAAGCTTACAGAAGATAAACATGGAACCCTCTTTAGAAAATCAACATGTGGCAGAGGACTCATAGTGCCGGACAGTCAGTCTATCGTGGAGGTCGGGAAACAGAGGTTTCCATCCATCGTCCATGCCAATTTCAGGTTGTTCTGAGACAGAAGGGCTCATAAGATTGTTCCTATAACTTGTGAGGCGGCTATCAGAAACTCTGAAACCCCAGGCAGATTCAAGACAAAATACTGTCCTACTAATGTAGCACTTATTATCTTCGGAATTTGAGTCAGTGAAAAACAATTCTTGGATATTCTTACTCAACTTGTAGATTAGATCATGAGATGTCAAGGGAACCGTAACAAGTCTCTTTCGGACAAAATTCCGTTCATACGATAAAATGCTCTATGCGAGTTAATTCAACTTTTAAACCTCATCTTCTCACCGGTCTCTCTTTTTTTGCTTGGAGATGGTCCGCACCTTGTAAACGTGGACATGAATCTTTAGAGCGTCTTGTGCGCTACTTCCCTACTGTTATTCTACATATGTACATGCTGAAGCGTAAGATATACGAATTGCAAGTGAGTTAAAGTTTGGTCGGGATTTATGAGTCAGTACATGTTATTGCCGTCCAGATACTTTAGATGAGCCATCATATCATCACATGGTCGATGTATCATGTATGCCGTGGCCTCCTCGACTTCAATACTGCCACGAAATTAGCTGGATAGACTTGGAGTAGCTGAAAGTTAAGATCGTGGCTCTAGATTCACTGTTGATAGGCAATAGACATCTTCTTAAACATCCTGATCCTTACATTACGCTATGATAACTCGAAGACTAAGGCCAAAGTAAAAGTACCGAGCAACTCGGGATGTTTATACCGATAATTGTTGACTTTGAGCGGTTGCCTACACAGAGTTCGGGCGTAATATAAGAAAGCCTGCTTCGTTCGTCCAGTCACATTACCCCTCTCGTAATTCCAGACCGCTCTTCTGCCTGCTTGTTCCAGAACATCAAATGAATAGACAGGATCTTATCGACTGCATACGCCAACGACGCCTCCTGCTTCATCATCGAATCCGGAAGGACTACTCCTGCTTGTCTGGGGTACTTACACGTCACCGTGTGACACCTTGGGAATTAAGTATCGGGCTATATGGCCTCGGCACCCGCGTTTATGTGGTGGTACTTTGTCAACAAGGTGTGTATCGAGTGGAATTAGCCGGTACAATGTCGTTCGATACCCGCTACATCCAAGAGATGAAAGGACAAAGGCTTTTCAGCGATATCACCCACCATCACGGCAACCTGGTCACTCACTACTAATCGTGTTCTAGAACGGCCCAAACAGCCTCTTGCCAATAGCGATTGTACCAGAGTAAAAAGACAAAGTAAGAAGTTCAGCAATGACTGTGGAGGTTCGTATCCAGGGTTAGATCCCGCCGACCTTCAAGTGGCCCAACCAGAAGCATCGCAAGTCTGGAGGCCTCTACGAATCGGGGCATACAATATGCGGTAACCAGTGCCTGCTGCAGAAAGTCTCGCGAATTGCAGGCCAGTCGGCAGCGTCGAGACGCAGCAGGCGCATGTGTATCTCAGAAGCGTTGGCTGGATCCGCGCCATTGAGTCAACATCCCAGCACCGGAATAATTACCCTTGAATAGCTAATCGCACTCTAAAATACGCATTTCTTCGTTGATGTCCGTATCCGTCACATCTCATTCCCAGATCAATCCATCCTTTGGCCGAGGTATTCGACGAAGAGCTTCTTCTTTCGGGCCGACTCGATAGTAACCAAAAAGCCACGTCTCTCGGAAACTTTTCTTGCGAGCGAAAGGAAATATCCCAAACTTCCTTCTTGGCTTTTTTGTTTCGCGGTCTGTTCGCAGAACACGCCCAGCGGCCCCAAATCTGCTTGCCGTGGGCAGCAATTTCAATCAGCCTCGGAGGTGCCGTATTAGTGGCCTTCCAGAAAGAGATTGGACCTTTGGGCTTCATTGTGCGATGAACTGTTTTCCGTATCCGTACGTTGTTTTTTGCGCCCGACGCCCAGGGACCCTTAAGCAAGGGTCACCATGTCTTCATACATGAGCCTGCACGGCAAGTCCAGCCAAGGCGCAGCACCATAACTGTTAGTCACGCTAGGCATCCAACGTCGCAACGGCAGCTAAGGACATTTGTTGCGACTAAGGATATGAAGGAACATGTGGAAAGTGGAAAACAGAGGATGTGTCAACGGGTAACAAGACAAGACACGCGTCGCGGACGACTTGTGACTGTTCATACCTCGTGGGTTTTGCGTACGATCTGTGTTGCGCGTCAGAGTGTTTCTGCCAGGGCAGAGGATCACCAGTAGCGTGACGCGGAACGGACGAGCGTAAAATATTCGCAGGTCTTGGTGTTTAGTAATGCCTCAACTCCTGGGAGCCTTCTGCGGGACCCGGGTTCCTCCTCGGTTGATCACGTATTCTGGTAAGGCAGAGGATCGACCGGGTTACACGGGGGCTGGAGACAGCAACGGTAACGGGCCAACGGCCAAACCGCGAGATCCCCGGAGGCGGAGTCAGCGTGACAGCGTGCCAAGCGGGAAGGGGTGTGGTGGTGGTGTTGTCGGCGGCCTAGGACTGCGCAAGCAACAATGTGTGCGGCTGCGCAACAGCGAAGAGAAAACGAGAAAACATCCTTTGAAGATGCGCAGGATCGTGCAAAGGAACGACTCGTCGGGTTCGCGTGGGGGTGGGACGGTTCTTGTTCGCGTTGCGCTGCTTGGACAGTTGGTTTAGCATGAGCGAGGGCACGTAAGCCCGTGTGGGCTCGTCAATGGGAAATCAAAACCGCGGGTTTCGAGACAAAGAGGACCCTGAAAGGAGGTGTCACATTGACGCGGACAATTTTATCTTCCCGCCTGGCAAACACATGCCAAAATAGCTGTCGCGTACATAGTGACTTCAGCTCAGGCACTCTGCTAAGGTATCTTACTTTGCCAGTAGGGTAGCATTCACAAGAATCCCATCTCAAGGATTTTGTAGGAACTTTTTCCTTTCTCACACTGCCATGTGCGTTACCGTTACGCGTCCAGTCTGTCTCGATCCAGCACAGACACCTGAACCTGAGGGGCGGGCCAGCTGGGGCTCCATCGAAGTTATCCTGATCCATAACTATGGTGACGGAAAAGAGCTCCGGCAGTTGTGCACATCACATCACGCAACGTTTGTCGGAAATACACTCAATTTGACGGGCGAGGTTGGAGTGCAATAAGCTTCGGCTCGCTTGCTTAGCTTGCAGTGGCCAGGTTCCATCGCGAGAATCCGTCTGTCACCCATATGGAACTCGAACAGGCCTCCTCCATTCCACCAAGTAATTACGGAGTAAGCAAAGGTCAGAGTACCTTTGACCTGGATACATGAGCAGTTATACCAGCTACCTACCTAGGCACGCACGGGGAAAGGGTCCGGAGCTGGGTCCGGGTCGGCGAGGCGAGAAAAGAGGCGAGGCAATCGTCAAAGAATCCCAGGACCAGCTACCCCCGGCCGCCGCCGTCGTGCCACCACCTACACTCAACTTGAAACCGAAAATCTCCTATTCTGAGCTATCGTGGATCGTGGGACCCCTCGCTACTCTCTCTTCTCTCTGTCAAGCTCACCTCCTGATCTGTGCCTCCATCTCCTCTTCCTCCTTCGTGCCACCTGTTCGAAACTGCGATTCAAGCGACCAGGCTCAAGGGCCACACGGTACACCAACGGGATGCGCGTGATGCACGATGCACGATGTCGACATTGCGACACCAAGAGCCCAGTCCCCTCGGCGGCGGCGTCTAGCTCGCTTACAAGGTTACATTGATCGTGATTGAACCCAGACCCCCCGTTCAGCCGCCGCTGATTATGCGCGCCCTATTTGCTTTCTTGCGCGCGCAGCAGCAGTAGCAGTACCGCTCCAGGCTGTGCTGTAGATGGTGATGCGACTTGCACGAGTCGGTTTGTCCCATGTTTGCATTGTCGGCATCGCATCCTCGGCGAAGGCCTAGACCGTTCTCAATTCCCTCCCCCCCCTTCCTGCGGTGGAACTGTCAAAAGTCAAGTTGTACCACGCTGCGTGAGTAACTGTACCAAGGGGGCATCCGGGATGAGAGTGACAAGAAGGCAGCCGCACTAACGTTGATAGCCGTGAGATAGCTTCCCCGGTGCCGCATTGCAAATAACGGCTCTCCAGTCTCGAGACAAGTGATGAGCAAGACGACACGTGTGATCAGGCCAGAAGCCGTTGATCTGAAGTTCGGGAGACCTTTCCATTCGGGCAACGATTTCCCACTTCGGGCCGGAGCATGCCCACAGTTTGCTCCTGTCCGTAGATTGGTTTGCCGCCTCGCCAAAACGCTGCCATGGCCGCTTGGTAAAAATCGCTCACTGGAGAAATGGAGAATGGAGAAGGACGGACTGCACTGATCTGCGCTGTGCCCAACTCGTGGCCCGCGTGGCTATATGTACAGTACCCTTGATCTTATGAAGACAGCTTCAACGGCGTCGGCGAGTTCAGCCTCTCTTGGTCTCGTCAGATGTCGGTCCCAGATAAAAGGGAGGGATGCCGAAACAGAACGGAAATACATCATGAGCCTGGCTGATAGTAGGGTGCTGATATTACAGGTCGGTCTTTGGGGCTGGGGGAAGCATAGAGCAGCCACGAAGGAAGCATCAAAATTAGAGTGCAGCTTCGCATATGGGCATCAACGCATGTAATGTACATGAGCATTTGAGAACGGGAATGGCCTTCTTTCAGGAATAGGCGGTTTTTCTGCGAATGGAGTCGCGCAGATCCACTCGAGAATGAGCTTATACGAGGGATTGGAACGGCGCGCGAGTGGCCTCTTTGATTATGGCTTGCTGCCAGTCTGCCGCTGCTGCAGTAATAAGTCACCGGTTAGTAGAGTGAAGGGCAATGATCGCCGGGACATCTCGTATTAGCGACGAGGCATTTCGATCGAGTGTGTCCAATCGGAGGCGCTGAGTTGAAATGACAGTCTGCAGGATTTTTTTCTTCCGGTGCCATTTCTCCCTCATAATCTCAAGTGTAGATGCCTTACTTTGGACATGTGAAGGAGGCTGGCTGGCTTCGAAAGACCACATCAGCAGTACCGAGATGTTGCGTTTCTTGGTCAACAACGGTCCCGACTTTCCGAAGCTGCAAAATAATTGGAACATATTCATGACCAAGGCGAATACCTCCAAAAACGCATCCCGCGGCCGACAGTGCCAAAAGGGCTGAATGGAAGGCAAAGGGAGCCGAAATAGAGGCAACTTGGGGGCCGTTTCTGCCCAAGGTTCCAGACGAGCATGCTCAAGGGCCAACTCAAAATGACGGGAAATGCAGCCTTGGAGGGGCCGCAAAAGTTCGGCTAACTGGCTAAACGAGCCCCTCAAACTTGAGCCAAAATACCCAATAACCAAATATGTATGCCACGTTTGTGGGCATCTTTCCAACATAATGTTCAAGATTGAACCATATAATCACCGCCATGTACCCGTACACTCGCACAAAAAGAGAGGTCATCAAAAGATTTGATTGCTGCTGGTGAAGTGAATTCGTACGAGAATAGAGTGGCTCGTGTTTCTGAAACACTGTCAATTTGTTCTAGAATCCTATTAATAGTGGCGGCATCCTTGAGGCCCTGGACAGCCCTGGCTGACGGGAAATGGATGGGCAAAGCAAAAATGCGCTCTCTCCACGCTGAGAGGAAGAGAAGCATACTTTACGGATACACCGTAGTAGAGCAGAAGGGGTCTCAATGGATCAGAAGGTCAGAGCCAAAACCAGAGAAAGAAAGCTCTCAAACACTTTGGAGGGCAAAGAAAGGAGAGCCTGGCCCAAACCCCAGTGGCCCCTGGATGATGCCGCAACAACAATCGTCCTTCCAGACAGCGGACGCAACGGACTTCAGCGAACAGGTCCCCCGCGGGTCCTCCTCAATTAAGGTGGCCTTAGTCATTATGCGCAACCTCTGGGCGCAAGTTCTGGAATCCCGTGGCATCTACCTGTGCCTGGGTGTTGGCTGAAGCACCACCCAGGTCTGGGCACTGCGCAGAGACTGGGGGAGCAGAGAGAAGGGGAACGACACACAAATTCTGGAACCTGGAACCGCCCTGGAGCCGTTCTGGCGCATTGGTCAGTCTCTGGTACACTGGTGCGCGCCCCTCTCCCCTGTATCCGTACCTTTTATGGCGCTGGGTCTCTTTGTTCCTTGCCCATTCTTACTCCACAGCCCCGGCAAGCGAAAGGACTGGACACACACTGGCCAAAGGCAGAGCTGCTGCTGTAGCAGAGAGAGAGAGCGAGAGAGGCAGCTGGCAGCAGAGTAAAGGCGAGTAAAAGCGGTACCACAGTTTGGGCGAGCCCACAGTCAAGGGACGTGAGATATCCACAGCCCTCGGTCCAGCCATGCGCCCCTCCCTAAATCTCTCTTCCCAGGCCATGGGGAGCCGTGGGAGACGGACAAGGCAGAGTTGTAGAAAGCCATGGAGTGATATGTACATTACCGCAGAACCTTGCAGCTCGAGGTACCTGTGTCCTTGTAGATATCCGCAGTACCTTTTACCTAGTACACATGTGTGATGAGGAAGGGCGACGAGGGTCTCGATGGGCAATGGGCGATGGGATGGGATGCTTCTGCTGTGTAACTGCAGTACCAGGCGACCATGGCGAGGCCATGTTATTTGTTCGCTGCCCCCTTCCAGACCCCTTCCCCCTTCCCGTGGATGCCGTGAGGCGTGAGATGATAAAGACCCTTTCAAGTCCCCCTCCACAACCACTACTTTTTTTGCTCTCTTTTTCTGCCCTCGATAACCCTTCGCTGTGCATCTGCTTGTCTGGAACATTCCTGTTGACTGCGTTGCTTCCTCTCCTTATCCCCATCCAATCTTGACTCTCCTTTCTGCAGTCTCGTCACCACCGCTGCCACCACAACCACCACCGCTACAACCCAATCCAGAAAACCCCTCCACATCCCTCTAGACGGTTCCTTCGGTATTTACACTTCCAGACAAAGAAACTTCCGTCATTCCGTCTCCCGTGTCGACGCCATAGATTTTTAAAGGGACTTTGCCTGCTAGCCAGAGCAGACCGGAAAGGATTCTTTGGAAGATTGATTACACATCTCGGCCAGCAGAAACGGGAACAGCCTACTTTTTACTATTAGTAACTCGGTGTTGACGAACCTCCCCGAAAGTAAACGACGACAACATCAGCAACAGTCACGACAAGCATCTTCTCTCACCAACAGCTCGAAGAAGAAGAAGAACAACAACAACTACAGTAACAGCAACTGGACAACACCCGATTCGACGACAATAGCATCGTCGATCAACAACAAAACCGGTCTCCCCCAAATAACCCCCCAAAACCTTCACCACGGCTTCTCCAGCGATCGCCACCATGGGTTCCCCGAGTGGACCCCTCCGACCCCGAGCGTCGTCAAATTTCATGGGCATCCGCGCATCCGGGTTCCCGCCGTCCATGACACCGCAAGAAAAGCATCTCTTCTCAACCCACGTCAACACGGCCACGACACGCCTCTCGAGCACGATGGCCGCCAGCGAGACGGGCGAGGGCTACGTGTTTGTCGTCTACTTCCACAAGACCACCGCCGCCGACGCTCTCGCCTTGCTCCAGGCCGCAGACATCCGAGTCAGGGGCCACGAGATCCAATTTTCCTGGCACTGAGAGAAACTTGGAAACCGGGCACTCGTTCACTTTCTTTCTCCCCTTCTACCTCATTTTGAGTAATGAGCTTTCCCATTGCCTCGTTGTGCCTTGATTTTTGAGGCCCGGGCTCCCGGCTGGACTGGACTGGACTTGACTGGACTCTTCTTCTTGTGTGGACCGTGGGATTATGGGACGGAACTAATCGGCTCATTCTCGACTCAAGCTCTTGTCCTGTCACTATGACCCCCCGATCCGTTTCCCGACTTCACACACATTTGGGGTCCTGCGTCCTGCCGCCCGCCGGGATTTGACAGCTTTCTGAACCGATTCGAGAGGGATCATCCCGCGTGTTCTCTCTCCTTCTGGTTCTCTCTATCTTCCTCCATGTCTTTTCAATATTCACATATTCCCCTCCCTCCAGGCTCCAGACATCTCAAAGAGCAGAGGACTGTCTTCTCAGAAACTAGACTCCTTGTCTGCTCCAACAACACCCCCCTACCCTACCTCTACCCTCCCTTCCATCCTACAATTCCCGCCCGACCGCCCCGGGACAAATCCTTCAGCGATCCATCCTCCACCCTACCTCGACCAGTCACCACCCCTCCCCCCTTGCCACTCTTCTCAGAGATCTGCAAGTCTAGGCCATCCTAGACCACCCCATCCCATCCAACTTTCCAGGGCAATCATCCATCTCACCCATACACTGGCTCCTCCACCCATCTCACCTTATCTCCATCGAGCGATCAATCACTCAATCACGCAAAAAAAGCATCGTGCTTCTCACGTTTCTGCTTGGCTTACTGGCTCTCAACCCCCCTTTATCCCGTATATCCGCGCATCCACTACCCACCACGCAAGCAAGCAAGGGGGGAAGGGTGCGTTCGGTTCGTCAATGGCTGCAGATGAGCCGCAGATGAACCAAGCCCGTCCAAGTTGTTCGCTCCGCCCGCCCGCACCGCACCGCCCTGCTTCTCTATCCCCCGCCCCGGTGGGCCGGCCGGCAACGCTGACGGTCAGGTCGTCGCAGGTGGGAATGAGCAACCCCCGAGAAGGGTACGCCGCAAGGGCAGCGGGACGGGAATTCGGGAAACATGGGAACGAGAGAGAAGAGTCCTGAGAAAGAGAGCAATACCTACAATCGAGATGAGGTGAGGTGACGCGGATAAAGGGACGCGTTACGCGGCCATCCGCTTCGTCACCACTCCAGCTGCAACCCTCCTCCTTCTCCCCCCTTCGAACGCCAGGCTCGCCGGGCCCATTATCCTACTACTGTTTTATTTTTTTTCCATCTTCCCACACTGGGCACCATGATCAATGATCGAACGGAGCCCCGTTACCAGGCCCGTTGTCAATCTCTGGGTTCCTGATGAAGGGTTGCATTCGAATTCGGCAATCGGCCCCAGTGGGATCCCACGGAGAAAAAGAGTACAAACCACCTAAGATGAGACGGCGCCAACGCAATCAAGGACGGATTATCCGCGATTTCATTTTCAAGGGGCTACCGATTGGAGAACATTTGGGCCGGGGTATCAAACGGTGTGTGGAAGTTCGATCGAAAAATCCACATTGGCATGCAAAGGTTAGTCCAATTGCAACAGTCACAAATACAACACTACACAACCTTTTATTTCTTTCTCTTTTTCTTTTTGCTTTTCCTTTACTCATCACATTATGGAATTGCTGCAAATCTTTTTCGGTCTCGCAAGGAATACTCCCCAAGCGGAGACTATCCGACCGCGCAGGCAGGCAACACAGCCAAAAACAAAGAGACTCTGGCCTTGCATGGAAACATCGGCTGACAGGAGTTCCAGACCAAGTTCGATTTTGATTACCGGCCCGACGTGGGGGAGCATGATGAGGGGACCGGGGAGGGCCTACACCACGAGACCCTGAACGGAGCAAAGGGAACGGGCCTGGCTGCACTGCACCACCGTTGCGTTTGCGCCTAGAAGAAGTCAGGGAACAACCCCCGAGCCAGGCCAAGAGGCAGAGGAAACCAAAGGAGGAAACCCAAGAGGTGGCTTGGTCTTGGTTTGTGGTTTGACCTATTGTCTGGTGCAGCGTGCACTGCCATCCATCACCACCGCCAAAGACAACACCAACCACTCGACGCAACCCAAACCCTAGAGTTTCCGACGTGGTTGGCATTCCCACTCAGTGAGGCTTTGCTTCGGGTGACGGCAACTCTTCGGTGTGGTCTTGTGCAATGCAATCCCAACCATATTGCACCATTCCATGTCGGATCCGGCCTCATGCCTCTTCACACCGCGGGCTCCGTGGAAAGACAGTAGAGGAAACAGAAATCCATACTCGCAATGCAGTGCTGCCTTTATTTTTCTCACTTTCGGAACTGGGTCCGGAATCAGTAAAGTTACATGTAGACTACTCGTCCGTATTGGTCGTATTTGGAAGTTGGGAAGCTGGAGGTGGAGGAGAAAGACCGGTCACCGGCCGCACCCAAGTGCTGGTTGCAGCCGAAAAGTGACCAGTCATAAGATAACTGTTTGTCACTTAGAGCTTGGCCTTGTGTCATTAGATCATGTATCCCATCCATACAATGCTTAGCAATGAGCAAACAAATATCAAATGTCAAATGTCAAAAATATGCACAGTCACCCCCAGACCAACATTGCGCAGTTCGTCTCACGGTTCCCACGGCTCAGATGGACCCGGGCAAAGACATTGCTGCTTCCAGCCAATTGTATAGATTGAATCAGGAACATGCATATCAGCGGGAGCCCACACCGAAGCATTTCCACCTACGCCGTTTGTAAATTATCATTGGAACCTCCTGGAAGAGAATGTGCAGCCTGCTTCACTCTCAGAGTCATCTCCCATCACCAAACTCCAGGCCCCATAGACATGCTTTCCGCGTAAACATCTGTCATCTCCCCGCTGGCCGGTGCATTGGATGGATGGATGGGCCGACTGTGCATTCCGTCCAAAGAACCGTTTGCTCAAAGTGAAACAGGGGAAATTCACATTGCGCGGACCCGAGGGACTGGGTTTCCCTGCGTTATAATCCCATCTCCCCCGCCGAGAGCATGTTCAGTGTGCCAGCTTCAAGTCCCTTCATTTTCCTCGTTCCTCTTACTCCAAACGGCAACAAACTAACTACTCCATACATACAATCAACCCGTTGATACCTACCCCATAAAACGTCCATAAAACGGAACTGGACGGGCCACGGCACAGGCCCCCAGCTGATTTTGACTTCCTCTCTGATGGTCATCTCCCGGTAAACTCGCATGATTTGCATGGACTCGAGACTTGGGGGGAGCAGGCAGCCGTGGGGCATCAGTCATCAGGTAGAAGAGAACACAAACGGCAAACTCCCCGCGGCAATTCTTATTCCCGTGTCATCCCAGCCCGTTCCACCCCGTCTCCCTCCGTTTCGTGATCCATCAGAGAGTCCCGGCGCCATGTGATGTGGAGGGTCTCCCGGCCTCGGCGCAATCTTTGACGCCGTTCATGTGTCTCCAAGACCCCTTCCCAATCCTTCCATCTCTTTTCGGACCCCGAAAGCGAATCCCTCGGATCAGACCCGTTTTCCTCCGCGTGGCATCCGCACTCCGACCATCAGACGGCACGGGAGCAGCACAGCAAGGTTCACGTCTAACGTTGTCGCTGATGCCTAAGCTGGACTCTTCTTGGGTGGCGCTAGAGTACCAATAGGTTTGCTACCTTTGCTCGATTCAACTCTCCAAGAAGCTTGTGTCGTGCGACGTGATCAGAGTGAGTCACTCTCGACGCCAGATCATTTCAAGTAGTTTTCTGTCGTGCCTGAGCTATCGCAGTCTTTAACTCATTGCCTCGAGAGCGCGCGCCGCCAAGCAAGAGCCGGCTTGTTAGCCGACGACCATGAGCTCAAGCCTTAATGTGTGAAAGAAGCATCATGCCGAAAGGCTGACCCCCTCCGCCCGCCATCCCCAAAGCGGAAATTCTTCGAATGCCAGAGGCTTACATCTCCACTGCCCAAACCGGCATGGCGGCAGCATCATTCACTCTGCTTCATTCCGTCATCACATTCCTCAAGCTTCGTCGCTCAGTCCTGTCTTACCGCTAGGACGGACCAGCCCGCCCGACGAATAGTCTTTCCAAGAATTGCTTACAGACCCGCATGCCCGAATGAGCCTAGCATTGGACCAGCCACTATGCAGACGGCTTACACTCACGATAGCCTCATCCGTCCAGCGTTACCCAGGAATCTAGCCTTGTTATCGACTATGTTTTGTTGCCTTGACCAGTCACAGCACGTAGAATAGTAAAGTGATGATCTTTAGAACAGGTTTCAATGGGGGAACACACATCGCCGACGGCGTAACATGGTGGACGAAACGGTCGTCGACTAGATGTAGCCTAGGCGTGCATAGGATTGAAGAAAGCGCCAGTGCATTTCGCTGCGCATATCAAGCGAGACTCAAAAGTAAATAGACTTCACTTTGTAGCTATAAAACGAAGGAATATCCTCTTTTCTTTCCATGCTCTCCAAGTCACACATTCGATCGTGGTCAAGTCTATGGTCCAACTTCCGACCAACATCCTCAATATCGCGAATCTCCAAGGTACATGTGAGCAGCCGGATAGACCGCAACAGCTGCTATCTCTAGGGCAAGAGGTCATTCTACCCTTGGAACGATAATATTGCAACCACGCCTTACCTGGATTAAAAGCGAGATCCCAACCGGCAGCACACGACGAATAGGTCCCTCCCGACGTCCTCGCGACATCTAGTGACCGAGTATCCGACCGGCACGTCCAAAACATCATCCGACGCACTTGGTGCACTCGAAACAATGGTCGCTCTTTTTGTCTACGAAAAGGACATGCATGATCCAACTCCGGATATCCCTTCCCTCGAAGGAAAGGTCATCTTTGTCACTGGCGGTGAGTCCATCGGTTTCCCATTCTTCCAACTGTCCCTTCATTGCTCAATGTGTAGCTTCTGAGGAGAGCAAGGCTTCTTTTTTCTATGACTTCTGTCTGTCTACTCTTTCTTTCTCTGGGGCCATACGCTCTGTGTGAGACTCAAGATGAAGGGATAGCCAAGTTCTAGGACTATGATCTCACCTCCTTCGTTATTGTTGCCCAGCTTGATATAGGAACGAGCTTTTCGGACTCGCGCGCGTGAGACCTATACCCCCTCACCCCCATCATTCCACCTAAACTCATGTTAGCCGCGACATATTCTTCCATTCGCTTGCTTTCCCGTCACGCTGTTCCTGGCGATATATCCCCTCCGTAAAGTCAACCTGCCAGGAGTATTCCAGTCACGATTCATCTTGAGATCCGCTCCTTTCTCGCAAGCGCTAGATGAGGATCACTCGGGACGTTGTTCACATCATCAAGAAATAGAACTCATCTCCCCCAACACCACATACATCATCCAACACCCGCTCACCATCCACCCACCATCATAAGACAAGCCTATATACACAGCACATGAATCCTCGCCCAACAACGACAGCAGTCATCAGCATCAATGGGACTAACAACCACACAGGAACAGCAGGCCTAGGCAAATCCACAATCCTCGCCCTCCTGGCTCACAACCCATCACACATCTACTTCTCAGGCCGCTCCCACGCCTCGGCCAAAGCCCTCATCGAAACCGCCGCTTCCTCCTCCTCCTCCACCACAGCAACCCCTCTACCCCTAACCTTCGTTCCCCTAGACCAAACCTCCCTCCCCTCAATCCGCGCCGCCATCAAGAAACACTTCACCCACGCCCGCCTCGACATCCTCATCAACAACGCAGGCATCATGGCCGGCGCCCCAGGCCTCTCAGCCGACGGCTACGAGATCCAGTTCGCTACGAATCACCTAGGCCACGCCATGATTATTCGAGAGCTACTACCGGTCCTACTACGTACCGCTGAGGGGTCTGGATCTTCATCTAGCGGCGGCGGCGGCGGCGGCGACGATGCCCCGGCCGACGTACGCATCATCAACCTCACGTCCGTCGGGTACCAAGCCCACCCGAGCGACGGCATCTCCTTTGAGACGCTGGATACGACGCAAGCTGGACCGCCGGTTCTGGGCCAGTGGATTCGATACGGGTACGTTGCTCATCCCTCGTCATCACTCACCTACTCTTGACCCCCTTGATCCCCTTCTCCCCCTCATCGTCAAAGTCATCACAGATCTCGAAACCAAACCCAAGAAATCTCCCAAACTAACGAACCCCTCCCACCAGCCAAAGCAAACTCGCAAACATCCTCTTCACCCGCGAACTCGCCCGCCGCCACCCCTCCATAACAACCCTCGCAATCCACCCCGGCGTCGTCGACACAGGCCTAGTTACGAACCAGAGCCGCCTCAACCGCCTCTTCGTCTACCTCCCGCAAAAGATCATGGGATCCTCCGTCCTGACGCCGGAGCAGGGCTGCTGGAACCAGGTCTGGGCTGCGGCGGCGGCCAAGAAGACGGATCTCGTGAATGGAGGGTTTTATATGCCCGTCGGGCATCTAGCGGATGATAAGCTGGATAAGACGGCGACGGATGGGGAGTTGGCTGGACGGCTTTGGCAGTGGACGGAGGATGTTTTGGATCGGGTTGAGTGAGTGTACGTCGGGGTTGTATGGCATTTTCTATCCACTCTTGAGATGTGCTGGATATCGATTTTCTCTTGTTATTTTATGGTGCGTTCAACTCTATATGAAATTGGACATGAAGAAGGCGACTATTGCAGTGAACTCATTGCCCAGGCTGCACTGTGTAGACAGACAATTAGATCCCTGTAGGATAATCCAAACTGTTCATCAAAGATCGGAATGCATCTTGAATCCATGTCAAGAAGGCCCGACGTCTCACTCCCCCGGCTCCGGAGCCGGGGGTCCGGCCGGCGCTGGCCACATATCAATCGCCGGGCCGGGAGGAAGTATGTCTCGCTTCCGCACCTGGCACCACGAGCGTTACACCGGACGTCGAGACAAGATAGCACAATACCACTTTGCCATCGATCGAACCCTGGATGTCCCACCTGGCGTGTGCCATCGTCCGCCCATCCAATGTCACCTCACACCACCGCGTCGCCGACGCGCGACCCCATCGTCGCTTCCAATCATTGGCATTTCCCCTCCACAAGAGTCCCAACAGATCATACCACACCCATCGAATGTTCAGTGGACTACATACTACACTCCAGATAGATTTAGATGTAGCACGCCGGCCAGCCGGTGAGTGTTTGCCATCGCCTGTAGCTAACTACGTTCCCTTGGACTCGATCGACTCACGGACGAACTATCCCCAAGATGGGCTTATCGGCCGTCACTATGGCCGCTCACACCATCTCTTAACTTGGTCTCGACTTCTCAACGTCACCTCAAGAGGCATGGCACGCAACGCACGCCCCCTCTCAAATTCCCAATCTCTCATGTTCCGCCGTTCGACAGGGTCGGCCTGTGTGAGTTGTAATACCTACTTACGGATACTCTGTGTACTGGTAATGGCATTCGTACTAGCGGCTCCAGCGGACGGAGGCTTACCCCGCCAAACGCCAATTCCACCGCCGACAGACGCGGACCGCGCCTTGAACCGCGTCGAGTTGACACATTCGGGGAAATTTGTAAACAAAAAATAACATGAGCCTAACAAGTGGCATCAAACTTTGTGACCGTCATGTCCGGGCCCGCTGTTGAGCGATATTTTGCGCGAGAAAAGTCGGGAACCTTGCAGATGGGAGTCAAATGAACCTGTCCGCAGTGCACTCGCTCGTGCAGCACAATGTCCGAAGTTGTAAGCCATGCTATCTCAGGCGCACTCTCCTTTGGCAAGACTCTTTCAAGCCGGACTCAGAAGCGGTGTTACAAGCAGCGCAGAGAACAAGAATGGCGATCCAAGACAGGGCCGCAGTAATGCAACCACTTTCGGCCGGTAGTAACCTGTAGCACGTCCCCCGCGACCAGGTAGATCAAATTCCAGACCAAACCCGCCGTCTCGGGTTGCATTCCTCAAGCAGGGGTGCATAACAAGCACGGGGAGACTGGACTGGGCGACTCGATGGGCGGCACGTGGAGTGTGGAAGTCTTGCGGCCATCGGAGTGACGGAGCGGGAATCATCGCATGGCTTCTGCCATGGTAGAAACCAACCTTCCCAGCTGCTTCCCAGTGATGGATGGTCCAGACTCTCGCAAGAAAAAATTCTCTTGCAACCTTGACTCCATCATTGCCATGCTTTTTTGTGCGGGCAGCCCTTTGGTTCAGCCCTGACATCCGGCTTTCGATGACCCATCCGATGGGGAGCCCAGGGTGACGGCGAAACTGGAGGGAGAGGTGCAAATCGCGGAGATTGGGGCGGCCCAGCGTGGTGCGGAAGCGAGATAACGTCGGCTTCTTAGCGCCGGCAAGGGGGGGTAAATGGACGTGGGCGTACTCCGTACAGATGCGCAATGTTGGAAATGCTGCAGCTGCAGAGCCAGAGGCAATCCATCACTGAGCCATCCCAAACGACTTGCCTCTCGTGGTAACACGAATCGTGACTCTCGCCCCGGGGACTGCACAAGTCTCCGGCCACACGACTGGTCCAGGCTGTGGGGAGTCTTTCATCTTAGACCGTTTTACACATATTGACTGACGTAGCTTTCCTCCTTCACAACGACCATGGTCAACTTTCAGTATCGACGAACGCATCCTCGAGTTTGGATCGTGGCGATGAAGTAGGTACTGTAGTATTCAAGGGACCTTCGACCCCGATTTTCCCGATCCGTCGGCGATGTCGCCAGTCTGGCTGGCCTCCTCTATATCCACACGGTGATGAGCGGGAGGCCATGTGCTGGATCGTGGATGGGTGATAAATATCCGTTCGCCCTGGATTGTGCCAGGATGTAGGCCTTCAAATTCTTCAACTTCCGGTCCGATCACGCCGCCGCGTGAGCCGTGTCCTTTCAACATGATCGTGGATCATGGGTTTACAACCGCATCCCTCGGGATTTTCTGTGCCGTCATCAGTCGATGCCACGTTGGCCCCCGTTGCCCGTCCGTAGGTGCTCCGTTCGGTCGTCAATCTCTTGAATATCCCTCGTCTTCCCCAGCGATCAGCTCCGGGTCAGCCTTGCCAACAACATGCCGTTGAGTGGACCTGGAGACACGTTCTAGCGCTAACAATGGAGAGGAAAAAACACAAGTACTCCGTAAGAGAAAAGCTTTGGACCATCAAAAACCAATTGTAAATCTTAAAGACTGGGAACGGCCCGGTTGGTAGGAGCGTCATTATCAGACGAACTGGCGCACGGCACATCTTTGATGACTCCATTCTTTCTTCAGTCAATCAAGATGCGACAACCTCAATCTACGGCTGCACCGGGCCATATCGAACCCAGGCCGCCAGCGTTCATGCCGTGCTGCAGGACCGGGAAAGTCCTGGGAGCAAGCGGGGGAAGTGAATCTGTGTTTCTTGTAGCGGGAATTTTCCCTTGGCCGTCAAGGCTTTCAGTTCTCCGTCAGCAGAAATCTCGCACCCACATGCCCATCAAACATTGATTAAATTCGATTCGTGCTCAATCTCGATGGTCCAGGTCATCTCAACTTGACTGACGTGTGTTGGTCCAGCAGGGCTCGACCAAGCATGCTGCACCGCCGACGACGAAGCCACTTATGCAAAGCGCTGCCGCAGAAGCAGCGTCTCTGAATCTGATGAATCGTTTCCGAAGGATCAATCTCGCTGAGTGCTGCCAAGAAAGTGTGTATTTGTTTCTTCAATCTCAAAGATTTGGACCCGTTGACAATCTAGGGCTGCGATCCCACTCGTTGGGTCCGTAGCTTTCCCAACCGAACAACCGACAACCATTCGGCTGGGATTCAGGGTGGACTCGCTTAACAGATTGCACCTTTACAGAGTCTGAGTCTGCCCATCTTCATATCGCAAAGTATTACTGGCCGTTGGGCTGAACCGTTTCTGTACGAATTAGCAGTTATCGACTCGCCGACAGCAACGGCAGCTCCGACGTTCCAACTTCCATACAAGTGTGAAGCATGGCCTTGGCCGGGATCTGCCATGAATGAGATCTGATGACAACATCTAGTTCTTTCGTACGGACACAAGGACGCGCTAGGGCATACCAGTGCAAAAGTTTCCGACACTGTACGTCTCGCAGTGTGCAAGATCGTTTCTTTTCCAGCATCAGAATGATCATGCTTTATGAAGCCGACGCCGATCCAATTCGAAGATGGGTGAAGCTATCGGCGTCTTCTCAAGCTGCTCGCAGGCTTACTATTCGTGCCGCGCTTCGTCCACAGCAGGACGAAGAATGACCGGCACTTTTCTTCGAGCTTCGCAAGAACGAACTGGCAACCGACGAAGCCAGCTGAGCTCGTTGTCTGGATGGCGAGGTTTGACCCAACCAGCAAAGGCAAGGAGCTACGATCGCCGCTGCAAAGGTAAAAGTGCCAGGCACGGCTTGCTGATTGGCCGCGGAAGCTGGCGGCAGGTCCGCAGGGATAGTCCAAGAGAGAAAGTGTCGGGAGCCCCTCTTCAAAATTTCGAAAGGGGGTGGGGGAAAAAAGATTGTCGCTGTCTGCCTCTGACGGCGTCCGTTTGCTTGGCTAGCGGGGAGTTTGCAAAGTTGACGGCTGAAGGCCTAGGGATCGCTGTCTGTCTAACAGCAAGAAGCGAGACACACCCCCGTGAACGAAATTGTGTGCTTTGCATGAATCGTGAAGTCGTTGTGTTTCCAAGTCAGACACTGCGGAGTACTGCACCGAGTAGATGCTATGAGGTAAATTTGAGCCAGGTCCAACGTATTCGTGGGTAAAGATGTTCATCCAGTGGGACCAAGTGGCTTCGAGGTGTCTTCGTTGGCTAGCATTGAATGCGCACTGAAAGCCAATGAATCGAGATGACCAGTAGCCAGTGGAAGAATTCTTGTTTGTTTCCTGATCATGCGTAAAGATCGTCTCGCCTTGGGCGGAAGAAGCATGCGCAGTTCGGAATGTCGTTCTCCTCCAATGATGACCGTATCAAGAAGCATTCGTAGGGCAGTTATGGGCTGTAGCTAGTAGGGCCGGAACCTTGCTTGCAATCGACAGCCGTTTTTTCCGCAAAACCACTCAGTTGCCGTGCCGTGGCGGGCTCAATGAGCCGGGATGTCGGCCGTGGTTTGGGCCGGAACAAAACCGGACCAGGCACGCATTGCCACCTCCCTTTTACTGCACAAAAGACCAGGTCCACGGAGGTGCACTTGGTAGTCTCGTTGATGTGTCGAATCAACCTCCTTTCAGCCCCGAGACATGGACATGTTGAAACAGAGCTCGATTCGAAACCAAACGGCTCAAAGCCAACGAGGACGGGGAAGCCTGGTGATAGGCAACCCGCTCAAATTGCAGCCGAGCTGAAGGTTTGCCCAGGACGTCTCGAGAGCTGAAGAGAGAGAGGACTGGAATGCAAGAAGCGCTGCATTGGATTACAGCCGAAACGCGAATCTGACGGAAACGCGGGGGGTTGCATGGCGGCACGGGTGATGTGCAAAGTGGGCGCGGGCCAAAGCTGCCCTGGTAAAGCGTCTCGGCCACTTGGCCCAGGCTGTCGTTCGAGGAGACCAGGGTGCCACAATGGACCTTGGTGATTGTCATGGCCTTCGCCAGTCTCGTAGACGACGACAAATAGTTGCTGCGCGGGAGCCTAAGCAAAACGGAAGCTGATGTTTGTGTAACTGCTCGTATCTTGTCATCTGCTGACACCGCTCGGTAGTGCCTAGGTGAGTAGACATCGAGGTCGTCCGGCTGGTAGATTGAAAAGTCAAAAGTCAAGAATAGGGGTTGGCCGAGGGAACACCAGCTGACCGGATCTTGGACGGATCTTGCGTGGCGGCGCTGAGGGCACAGCAGCTACAAATACAGCACGCGAGATGCAGACTGACGACAATGGCGCGGACACCACCGCAGTTCCTGCATCTCATTGAATCTTGCGCCGATCAGCAAACACCAATCTTGGCCAGGCGCCAGGTCTGAATGCAAGGCTCTTGGAACAAACTGCAGTATGAGGGCAGCAGAGGATCTACCTGAACTTCTGCTGTGGTTCCTGGTACTGGTCTCATTGTGTTTGGTGCAATGACACCAGAGCGGCCCTGGGAGGATTTGAGGCTGAACCAATAGACCACGACTCGTGGTTGACGAAATTGTGAGGGCCGCATCCGCCCCGTTATTTAGTTGAGAGTTGAGACACCAGAAAAGGGGTCCAACAGAGCACAAGAGTCGCGCAAAAGATCAGGTCCTTGGCTATGTTTCTCAGGCGCTGTGCAATCACATTGTAGTTGTGAGTTTGGAGCCGATACTTTTGATCCGAAAGTCAAGTTGTGAACTGCAGTAGGGCATCGCCTTGCCGTGCGTACACTATGATTGCCGCTCTTGAAGCTGCAAAGCTAAGGACTGCTCGGGTTTGGTGAGTCTGGGCAGTGGCTTTCCACATGCTCTTAGATCCAAGACGGCATTGACTGGCTCTAGAGCCGGACATTATGAGCAGTGGACAAGAGCTTGCAACGGTTGGCGCTATAATTTGGTTGGGTGGTGAGACATTTGCAAGAGTTGTGGCCTGTTAGTGCGCCCCTGGTCTCTTGATAATTTGGTCGACACACCCCTCGTAGATGGTTGAGAACACTGTCATTTGTCAGTTCATTTACCCAGAGGCCTGGATGATACTGATCTGACGCTTGCCCGGCTGGCCAGTGGTTTCTAGTGACCAGCGCGGAAGCATCAATGCAGGCAGCTCCAAGCATGTGCGCGCGATGACTGGCAAGAAGCATTGGGGCAGGTCGGACCAATTGCTTCTTTTTAAGGTTAAAGACCCTCGACCAGCACGGCGCATCCGTCGGTGGCTACGGAGCATATAGTAAAGCATCTGTCTTGGAACTGCTGAACCGTGTACTTGCTGGTCTATGTTCAACGTTGACTGCTGGAGCTGCCGACGTGACCTCGAAGCTTGAGTACAGCCCGGCGCCCACAAGTAGAGTGATGGAGCGGCAGGGCGTAGCCATGCAATTAAGTGCGGGACGCAGCCAACTCCCGTTTCTGCTAGAGCCACCCCTTGTCTGCGTCCAGCTTGGCGTTTGGGAGAGATGATGGTGATCAAAAACGAGAAGGAAACTCCTTGAACAGCTTGGAACGGAATCAGGTCGAGAGCAAGAGAGACGGTGACAGAGCCAGAGGGCCGAGAAGCACGCGGTAGATAAACAGAGGTTGTGGCAAGTGGCAACGACTTGCGAATGTGATAGGTATGCGAACTTTGGTGAGGCGAAACGACGGGAAGCATGTGGGGGCCAGGCGATGGAGGGCACGAGAGCGGGCCGGGACCCTTTGAGCGGTGGACGGATGACTTTGCAAGGAATCTAGGCGGCTCTATTGTCGATGTTTACGATGGATCTGGCTCTCGTGGTCATGCGTTTCGTCCGTCTGTTGTCATGGGCCAGAAGAGGAACGGATGGGCATCGGCAAGAACAGACTTTGGTGACAAGCGCGTAGGTGAAAACGGCAACGACTCGGAAGGGGTCTTGGCTGCGTTGCTGATCAAAGCTTGCGGGCGATGCGGGAGGTGTTTTGCTGACTGGCAGCGTATAGTTTGATGGAAGCGCAAGCTCATGCTCTACAAAGCCGCGGCGGCAGACTTTTGGTGATTGAGATGATGCGATTTGATGGGGTAGGTACGCGAGACTGTCGAGCTGTAACGGCTTTGTGCAAAGACAGCCATAGCCATGCCTTTTGAGGTCGACGAGACTTTTGAGAAGAGGCAAAGGCTTCCTTCTTCCTGCTAGAAGGGCGGAATCGAGGCGGCTATGGCGGTTATTGTGGTTGTTGATATTGAAGGAGGCGTCGATCAAGAGGATGGAATTTGGGGCGGTGTCATGTGCGTTCTCTGGCGTGCGGCCATGTTTCTTCTTCGCTCCTCTAGTCCAAAGGCGTCATGATGATGAGACTGATGGTTTGTTTTGATGATGAATCCTTATTGCCAGACCGAGACATTGAGGGTCGAAGATCGAAGACGAACGGGGGCGTAGGTGTCTCGTCAAGATGTGTGGAGGAGGATGGAAGGCTGAGGAATCTGCCCGTGAGTGGCAGTGGTGGCAGTGGTGGTTCCAAGGTTGATTGAGATGGAAGGAACTCTCGCAATTGCTTCCTTTCAAGCTCATTCAGGGCACTTTCCGTCCCATTCAAGCACCCAAGGTAGGTGCAGGCATGGAAGGCAGGATGGTACGCACGAGTACCTGCATCAACGCATCTGCACATCTGCAGCTTCACCTGCCGTTGGTGGCACAGGCACAGGCACAGGCACGCCCATGTTCCTGCCGTCCGGTGGAAGAACAGGTACGTATCCCTCGCTACTCAAGCTGACTAAGGAAAGAGGGGAGGAACTCCAGCAGTACCTAACGTAGGTACCTCAAGTAAGGTAAGTAGGAAGGAAGTGATCAGGAGGGCGAACGAAGTGTTTGAAGGCGCTTGCTTTTTTGGCTTCAGATTGTGCAGGAACATCTACCATTTGAAGCCAATGGAATCCTTAACAATACATTGAACAAGACACTTCCCCTGCCTCGTGTCTGTCAACCAATTGCTGCAATGACGGCAATTCATCACCCGCGGCTGCTGAAAAGGCCAGGAGTAGCAGACAAGCCGAGGGGAACATGCCGGCGTGCAGCGTGCCTGGCGCCGGGAGTAGGTATCTACCAATGTACTGTCCGTACGTACCTACCTACTACGTAGGCGCGGGATGAAAAGAAGAGAAAGCAGCGAGAATCAACCCCACTTGCAATTTTGACATTTGAGTCTTCCACCCCTCCATCACTGCCCGGGCTGTTAAGCATAGTACGTACCCCTGGTTCAGCTGACATAAGGCCATGGGATCTGGGCGTGAAGCTGTTAGTGCTTGGCCGCGGCACATCACCACAATTCCGCAACACGGCCTAACAGACGCCAACACCGCGTCTCTTGTCAACGGCTTTCCTTGGTGTCGGGTTTGTGTCTGATCGGTGTCTGCTGCCCACCAATGAGCAACTCAGCACTCGTCCGCGCTACGCTCTGCAGTCTATGTACTACGTACTGTGTGTGGCTAGCCAGGTCCCTTGCATTTCGCATCCCGGGCCAGACCCAAGCCAGACAAGTGCCAGGAACAAAATGCCAGGGGCACGGGGAGTCGGGCGTGCATCTTGCAGCTGGCCAGGAACACGTTCACCATACTCCGTACACTAGGTACTGAGCAGGGCACTACAGGTCCACTGACAACCTCAGGGGGCCTCTTTTGAGTGTCCAGCCGGGGCCAATCCCGCTCCTCCTCTTCCTCTTTTCTCTTAGTGCCGCCATCGTGCCTCTCGAATGAGTCTCATCCCTCTCATCCCGTAGCCCCGTCCCTAGTCGACTCTCCTGTCTGGTGAGCCGATGAGATGACGACTATTCCAGCGCATTACCTGTTAGGACGGCCATGAGAGTAGTGAGCGGGGGCACTGGGAATTTATTCTCTTTTCATCCTACTTGAGGCCGGCTACGGATATTTTGAGCCCTAATGTTAGCCTCACTCACTCACAGTACTCACACTGACATTCAGTAAGGTAGTGTAACACGCACAGTGAGTGACCACTCACACTCTCGGTCCACACTCATAAACCCAATCTCATGATTCATCCCACACCCCTCTCACCCCCCATGCCTTACCCCCCTGCCTCCACCATCACCATCCGTCCCGTCGTGCAGCCACAATCCCAGTCCGCCTCTCCCCGTCCACGCCGTTCTCCCTAACCTCCTCACACCTCTCTTCCTTCACACATACTGTGCATCCGTACGGATATGCTCACATCGACAAATCTCCCCTGTCGCCCTCACACCGTGACACCCACGAACCACCCCCCGTTCGTGGCTCGGATTCTCCAATTTCTTGTGCCTGTCACCCTGTCCCTGCACTGCGTCCGCAATTCTTCTTTTCCCTCCTTTGGGCTCCTGGGTCACTCCTTTCTCTCCCGTCACTCGCAATCCAGTCCAATCCAATCCAATCCAATCCTCGTCCTCACCCCAAGACAAATCGTCTCCAGTCGTTTACTTTTGGCTTCCATCGGCCTTCCTTGCTCCTCGCCTGCCTTCATTCTCTCCCCCCCTTCTCTTGCTGCCCTCTACCTACTTTTCCCTCTCCACCAAGCCACGAGCCTAGCTCTGAATCCGATCAGCGTCTCTACTAGTACACTAAACTGAACCCAAGTCACTTGTTGCTTTTCTTTCTCTTCTTCTTCTGGTTTCCCTTTTGTTTGCCTGCCAGGAAGAAAACCCAGGTGACGGAAGGAAAAAAAAAGGTTTCCCAAGAGAGCTTCCCACATTCCCACCCGAGTCCTTCTTTTCTCGACACACACACACAACATACCTTACTCTCTCACACACACACTCGCTCTCTCTCGCGCCTCTTCCTTTCCGCCGTCTTCTCGACTTCGAGTCTTCCAATACGACACTATCGACGCTGCTCGCCGCGCTGTCTGGTTGACCTCGCCTAAAATAAATTCGAACGGCATTGCGAGATCCAGAATCTCTGCAACCTTTGGACCACCCAAACAAGATCACTCGACCGGGATTGTCGAATTACCCCCGACGGGATTTCTCCCTTTCTTATCAGCAAACCGCGATTCAGCCATATTCCACCTCGCTCGCTGCTGCCAACACGTTACGCCTGGTTCCTACACCTCGTACAGTCGCCAGACTAATTTCGACGCACCTCTCGCTGCCGCCAGCCTATTGCGCAGGACACCATTGGAATCTGTGTACGACCCTGGACTTGGAGGAAACAGAGGAGTCTGATCTGCTGTACACAACACGCCACTCCTTCTTCTCGACTTGACGCTTTGGATATCGTCGTCCAAGCACATCTCATCTTCGCCAGCAACTTTCTTTCTCGCTGAGACGCTTGAAGGAAGGAGGATCGACGCTGCTTTTGGTCCCCAGGAGCAAAAAAAAAGGTCTACATGCGACGTTGACAGCCTGGACACAAACTCCATCTTGCTGAAACACTCCCGACACAGCGACATCTCTGATCCAGGTACGTTTCTTGCTTGACATATCTGCCCTCTCCATCTTTCCCATGTCCCGCCGCCCACGTACCCGCCCCCGTCTTTGATATTTGTTGCATTTTCTCCCCAGAACCCCCAGCAGACGCTTTCATCCCAAGGTCCCAGCTGCGACGAGGCTCAAGCACAGCTTTAAGCGTCTCCGACGCCTTACTGAACTCAATTGCTGCTTGGCCGCCCCCAAAGGCTCAAGAAGCCGTCTAGAGCTGAGACCGGAACGTGGTCGTGTGTCCAAGGGTTCCTGTCAAATCTTTGCTGACGATTCTGCTATTTGTGTCTAGCCATCCCGCATCTCGACTTCAGACGCACTCTTGGCCAATCGTCCCGAGCGAACATTGCCCGTTTCAAACAAACTTTCGCTCTTCGTCCCAACTTCTCGATCTACCATCCCAACCACCATTAATGGACGCCGCTTAATGAAGAGCACCGACGCTTAAGCTTGATAAAATCGCTTTGAGAAGGAAAAGACGGACTGCTTGTCGACCCTACGCACACAGCACCTCTGCCGACGAGGCAGAACCCGATAATCCACAATGAACAGATTTCGCACCAAGAAGAGGGCGAAGGATGATGCCGCCTCTTCTACGCCTCGGGCTTCCCACGAATCAGAGTCTCCCGCACCATTCCGTTTCTTTGGCAAGGGAAAGAAGTCACAAGAAGAAGAGCCAAAGAAGGAACTGGATCTCGAGAATGCCTTGCCCCACAGCGATGACTTCCGCACGAGTCTTCTCATGACTGGGCTATCTGCACGGTTCTCCATGCTGAGAGAACAAGACGACCCGAACACGAAAATTGGCAAGGCCAGCGACGATAGCGTTCTGTTCCCGAAGCGCCAGTCAAGGATGTTGGACTTTGGCTTTGGGCCTGGCCCCAACGGACTGTCAGACATCGCCGAGGTCGAGTCAATCAGAAAAGAGGTGCCATTTAACCGGATGGATTCTTACCACTCTGCTGATGGTAACTCCATCTCGGGAAGTGTCATGGACCGAGCCAAGCCGGGAGAAGGCAACAACTTGTTTGGTGGACGCCAAAAAGTGTACAAGCTTGGTTCTGGTGCTGTTTCCACCAAGAACCTCGACGGCGGTGGCATGAGTGGACGCGTCCTCTATGATGACGATGTTGCAAAGTCAGCCTTCCAGAAATGGAGGCAGACGGAGAAGTCTAAGCAACCATTTGACGACGAACAGGACCAGAAGCCCTCGAGCATCGATCTCCCTCGCGCGGAATCACCTCCACCGCTGGGCTACGACCGCAAGAGAGAAACTAACTCGACTACATCATCGACACCATCACTAGGCCGCAATTCCACGGCAGCCACTTCGGTCATGTCCCAACCAACGTCGGCAGCAAAGGATTGGCAGTCGAACCCGACGGCACCGAGTTCGGCATCGGGCACGCCCAACCTTGATCGGAGCGTTACCCGAGCACGACGTCTTTACGAGACAGGACTCAACCATGATCTCCAGGAGCAACAATCTTCAGCTCTATCGCGAATGGACACCCTTTCTCGGCAGCGAACACTCGGCAGCAGAACCCCCGACCTCCAAAACGGACCTTCACCCACAAGCAGCCTCTTCAGCGATCGTTTTGGCAATGAGAGGAGAATCTTGGCCAAGGGAAGCGCTCCGAACCTGCGATCCGCCAGTCCCCCGACCATGGGTTCGCCGATTGTCCCCATGGATTTGGGCATCAACGTGCCCACAAACTCTGAACCCAAGTCTTCCTTTGGAGGTGCACCTCCTTTGAGCCCGCCCATCAGCGAAGGAGAGGAGAGCTCTGTTCTCCCTAGTGACCGGGGCAAGGCCACTGCCATGGGGCTGTTCCAAAAGCCTCTTCACTCCTACGACGAGTCTAGATATGCTCAAAGGCAACTCCAACTCCAACAAGGCCGAGAGACGCCGACCAACAGGTTCCGCACAGAGTCTAATGCATCACAAACTACCGGCCGATCACGTTCATCCTCGTCGGCTCAGAGGCTGCCGGTTGAGAAACCCGAACCGATAATTCGTACAGAGCCGACAGTAAAGGAAGAGGAAGCTGGGCTGAGCTTTTACGACGATTCACTTTCTCCCCAAGATGACGCCACGAACCCAGCTGCTGCATTCCATGGCACCACAAGACGCCCTGCTGATCGCGACCATCCCGCACTCAGGGACTTTGCCGTGCCAACACCGCTCTCATTGAGCACCGGCGCATCGGTGGAGCCATCGCCTGTGTCCGATCAACCTTTCACTGCCGTATCCGCTGAGACGACGAGCTCGCCCCAAGACTCTCCGACGCTCCCCTCGTCCGCCGGCCTCAGCGGAATGGTCCGCCAGCATCTGCGAACCGACAGTGCTACTTCATCCATCTATGGCTCAGCGCCGCAGACGTCCAACTTTGCTTCGAGGTTCCCTCTCGACCCATATGATCCCAAGTCTATGGCGGATATGGGAGTGATGGCCAACCCCTGGGAAATACAGTCCCCAGACTGGGCAAACCCGACGTTCAACGAGAAGGAGCAGACGTCCAACGATCGGAAAGAACCGGCAGTTCCTGAGCCTACTTCGCAGCCTCGTCAAACGCTCCCATCAGAGAACCAGCCAGCCTCTGAGCGCAACACAGGGTCAAGCACCGAGATGGAGAAGGAACACGACGAGTTTGCCAACCAACTCGCTGATCGCGCGCGCCGGGTTCGTGAGAGACTGACTTCCTATGTGGAGTCAGACCGCGACAGCAGGTCCCTCTCACCTCACCCCGTCGATCGTACAAGAGAGCCATCGTTGCCCCGTCCGAACCCATTGGGCATCTTGAGACAGAAGACGAGCCGTGGTTCTTTGATTGATCGCAACCGCGAGAACCGCGTCGATAGCCAGCACTCAAAGGCCATCAAGATGCTCGGCCTTGCGACTTCCACCATCAGCAGTGCTCCTAGCCCAAACAAGTCAAGCTTCGAGGAGAAGGAACCCCAATCGCCTGTCCAGGAAGAGCGCGAGAAGCCAGCTTTCCCGAGGGCTGAGACCGCGCCAGTCCTTCCCACGCACGAGCCAGAGAAGGATAAGGAGGACGATTCCATGCACGCTGGACTCCAGGCATTTAGACAAGCTAGACGACGGCTGATGGAGGCTCAGAAGAGTCCGTCAAGTGTCCCTATCAATCCTGGCCAGATGCCTGGCTCCGCATCGGTTCCGATGGTTGGCCCACCTGCGTCTAGGACCGCACCTACTCGCGAGCGCACTCCCGGTCCGCGATCGCCATCTCGTGAGCGCCGGCCGCCTCCTGTCACCTACCAGCAGCGGGCACCCAGTGAGGAGCCGCAACCTAACAACGGCCCTGGCCGCGCGCCCTCCCGCCCTCCCTCTCGGACTGAACGGACTGAGCGTGACCGCAGCGGCTCTGAAGCTAGCAGCGGAGACCGGCCTCATCGTCCAGCACGCTTGCGCACCGGCACCATCTCATCCCCCCACGAAGAGCAGCGTGGCATGGTGCCCCCTCCGGCTAGACCTCAAATGCTGAACTCACCGGGCCTGCCCGGCACTAACATTCGTCGGTCTCCGATTATGCCTCCTCAGCCGTACCCAGTCGGAGCGGGTCAAGGAAAGTCTCTCGATCGGTCGGCATCCCAGGGCAACCTGGCAGTTCAGTACCGCCGACGGGGCCCTGAATCCGGCCAGCCTTCGCCCATTTCCCCGATGGCTCCCATACCGTCGCCGTCAATCCCCGTCAGCCAGTCTTCACCCGCCTTCGTCCCCTCCCGCCGACCTTCCGCACCTCCTGTGCCGTCGCCTAACATGGAAGCCGCACCTGCCAACCGCCTCGACGAGTCGATGAAGAGAGTGGTCAGGAAGAAGGATATTTCTGAGCCAACCTTTGTCTCTTCAACCTCTCGCGTCCCAACTGTGGCTCTTCCCGAGACCTCAGAGTCCCGTTCCAGAAGCGGTTCTCGTTCGCGATCTGGCAGCATCCTCGGAGCTGCCGCCTCGACGCCAAATCTTCACGGCAGCGTGCATGCCAATATCAACGCTCCGCCTCTGCCTCCGATCAACCCGAAGCGTCGCAACATGATCGGTTCGATGATGAGCCGCCGAGGAGATGAAGACATGGGCGCAAGTTCTCCTCACCTACCCTTCTCTCCTCCGCCGATTCCCAGTGAGCACGGTGGCGACAGCCACAGCGCGTTCTCTGTAAGCGACGAAGAGGACGGCCCTGGTTCCCAGCGGCGTCGCCTCCGAAAGACCATCAGCGAAGCCAATGGCATGAACATGCGTGCCCGACTGACCCGGGGCAACAGCCCTCCCAATATGCCTGCGCCCATGGCTATGACAGGGGGCTTGAACAACGGAAACATGCCCGGCGGCATGATTTAAACACTCCCAACACAATCGCCACGAATCTCTTCATCATCTCTAATCATCTCTCAGTATCATTAAAACGGATGGCGGGGTTATAAAAAGAGAGAAAATGGTTGTCACGAATCTATGAGAACGTTTTTGTATTTTTGCCATTGATTTCGCTTTATTTCAATTACCCCCAAATGTCGATCTCTACGACTACTGGGTTCCTATTGTATATTTCTCATTTCTCTTCATTCTTTCCTCTCTGGCGGAGTCACTTCGGTGCTTGGCCTTTTCCAAGTTAGGCTCCCGGAGGGAGCATTAATAGGGCGGGGTCCTCGTTTTTGGGATGAGTTTGTCTGCGTTTTGGTGGCGGGCCTGGCGTCTACCATCTGGAGGACTGCAAGATCAGGTGGAAGGGCTAGTTCACAGTCATCTCGAGTATGAAGAATACCGGAATATTTCAAGGCTGTGGCTAGGGTGGGGTGGGTGGTAGTGCAAAGGGCGGAGTCTGATATACCATAGTAAGAGAATTGGGAGCAATCAAATTCATCAACATGAACATCTGACAGCAAGTCCAAGTCATACGCAATGTGAAAATTAGCCGAGCCTTAAAGCCAAGTGCAATTCGGACTTGCGATTATTGGTTCTTCTGCAAGAAGTACAGCGTGATGTTCGGCGGAAATGCCCGGTCCATCCTCCGGCAAGTGGCCGGTGCTCGGGGGTTTGCTCCGGGCAATACGCCGGCCACGCCAAGACATGCCGATCGGCTTCAGACTAATGTCGTGATAAAGCCTCATCTGCACTGCGATGGGTATCACCGAGCGGCACGAGAACGGCTCAAAGTTTGATCAAAATCTCGACTCGGGGTAGAAAGCAAACCACGAAGATGCTCTTCGCTATGCATGTACTATTCGCGCTGTGCCTCTTGCTCACCCCAACATGGGCGATTTGGAACCCCATCATCTCGGGGTTCAATCCTGATCCTGCAATTCTTCGTGTGGGGGATGATTATTACATCGCCACTTCGTCGTTTGAGTACTGGCCTGGGATGCCAATCTATCACAGTAAGATGAATGATGCCCATCGTGCCTGGAGAGTGCTGTGTGTGCCGTGTTGACAACGTTGTGAATAGGCAAGGACCTATCGAATTGGACGCTTATTTCGCACGCCTTGACCAGGCCGGAACAGCTGCAACTCTACGGCGTCCCGACCGGAGCTGGTACCATGCCCTGAAGTCCTTTCCGCGAGCCCGCGCAGTGGGTGCATCGCCAACTGAAATCATCTCACTAACATCCCATCGCAGGCGCCTGGGCACCAAGCCTAGCCCACTTCCACAACAAATTCTGGCTCTCGGGCATGACGCGCTGGACCTACGACCCCGTAGCCCGCGTCTGGCCGCGGGTGTGGTTCATCTCCTCCCCGGACCTCGTAACCTGGTCTGACCCCGTTTGGGCGGAGCCGTGGGGCATCGACCCGGAGCTTTTCCATGATTCGTCGACGGGGAGGACGTATCTGAACCTGATGGCGCCGAATAACAACCAAGAGAGGCTTTGGGGGATTGCGCAGTGCGAGGTCGAGGTTTTGAGCGGGGCGTGCGTTGGAGAGTATAAGAGTCTTTGGAATGGGACGCTGGAGAGGAATGCGACGGCTAGGCCTGAAGGGCCGAAGATGTTTGTGAGGGGTGGTTGGTATTATCTGGTTGTTGCTGAGGGTGAGTTTTTGATGGTTTTGTGATGATGATCTGCGTGTGATTGTGTGTATGAGAGTGGGACTGACGTGAAGGGTAGGCGGTACTGATGAGTTGCACCGTACCTCGATTGCTCGAAGTAAGTCGCCGTCTGGACCGTTTGAGGCCTGTCCGCATAATCCTCTCATGTATAACGGACAATGGGGGGCCAAGAACTTGACTGTGCAGTCGACTGGGCACGCGACGTTTGTGGAGGCTGCTGATGGGGAGTGGTATGCTTCCTTCATTGCGAGGCGGAATGTGAATGGCAGCTCGCCACTCGGTATGTGTTATTCCCAGATGTCTTCTGGTGGGCCAGCAGACGGGAGTGCTAACTTGAAGGATACAGGCCGTGAGACCTTTCTTGCGCAACTAACGTGGGAGAACGACTGGCCTTGGATCAACAACGGGAAACCCATTATTCTCAGCGAAGAGGTAGGGCCCAAGACAGGAATCAAGAAGACACCAGCCCCTTGGATGGACGACTTCTCCGGAAAGGAGCTAGATCCCTCATGGTACCAGCTCCGAACGCCGTACGTCAAGTCATACGATGTCTGCAACGGGCGTCTGGTCTTTAAGCCCAACGTATTTAGCTTGAGTGACCGGGATCATCCCGCGGCGGTGCTGCGAAAGCAGACGTCGTTGAACATGACGTTTTCTGCGGAGCTGCTTGGGTTTGAGGGCGTGTTGGGGCAGAGGATGAGGGTTGGGGTGTCAAGTTACTTGAGTGAGTTTCAACATCAGGATATTGGTGTCAAGGGGTGCGATGGTGGGATTGGGGGTATGTGTTTGTATACGGAGGTGAGAAGGAATGGCACTGTGGATGTGAGTTCTTTCCACCCTTTGGGCTTCTCTTTTCTGGCTCTCAATACTATGAAGTTAAAGGATGACGGTTTGCTGACTGGACGTGAATGATAGTACTGGCAAAGACCCCTCAACTCATCGTCTCTGCTCAAGAGCGGGCTGAGACTTCATATCCGGGCTGAACCGTTGATCTACCACCTGGGCTATAGCACCGGCGATGGCGAACCGACGTACGTCGCAAAGATTGGTTCACGGTGGCAGGCTTTCGCGCCGGCGGGGTATTATGTGTTCACCGGGGCATCTTTCGCGTTGTTTGCGACTGGTGAAGGTGAGCCGTGGCCTGTTGATGGGCCGAAAGTTGGGTTCACGCGAGTCGAGGAGAGGTATTATGAGGAAGACATTGGAGACTACGATCGTTGGTGAGGTTGTCAGGTATTTTCACAGAGATGAGATACGGGCTCGACCTCATGTCGGCAGAAATTCCCAGTTATTCTCTACGAAGTATCCAGACATTGAGCGACTTTGGCTTTGGCAAATTGTAAGTGCGCACATCCCATTCTTCGTCCGGGGCAGCGAGTTCTAGCCGGAAGCGTCTCAGTAGCGCAACCATGACTTTGCATATTTCCATGACGGCGATATGGCGTCCTAGACATATGCGCGCGCCATGAGAGAACTTCATTGTAGTCAGCATCGATCGCAAGAAGCAATGACATCGCGCGGGGCGACTTACATGCAAACAGCCATTCTCCATGTCAAAGGCTCTCTCGGGTGAACACTCGAGCCAACGCTCCGGCCGAAACGCATCCGAGTCTTCCCCAAAGAGCTTCTTGTCCCTTGCCACGACGAAGGGCGAGACGCTCACTCTGGTACCGCCTGGGAAGAAGCGGCCGCAGATGTAAGCTCCGCCTCGTGGTACATGGCGAGGGAGGGTGGTGGTGACGGGCGGGTGAATGCGAAGGGCCTCTTTGATGCAGGCCGCGAGGTACGGCATGGCCTGGTGGTTTGTCTCGCTATACCTTGGTGGGTCCGACAGTTTCCCTTTCGACGCAGCCTCGTCGATTTCGGCCTGTAGCTTATTGTAGGCCTTCGGGTTCTTGAGGAGGTGATAGATGAAGGAGTCCATAGCAATGCCGGTGGTGTCCGAGCCGCCAGACAGGTTGACCACGGCATGCTGAAAGATTTCGCTATGCGGAAACTCCTGAGGCCCAATCTTCTTTTGGGACTGAATGATCTTATCCATGATGTCGGAGTGCACTGCATCCGGATCCGCTTCACGCCTGTCCATCTCCTGCTTGGTGACGTCCGAGATGACCAGCGCTGGAGGACTCAGGAGGGCGGTTACCAGCGGGTTTCCGAAGAGGAACTTGTGAAGCTCCGGCATCATGGCTACCGTGGATGCGTACTGGATGAAGCTATCAAGCACCTTCGTCATGTTGCCCACGTCGGACTTGGTGTCGAGAAATCCGAGGCGGCGAGAGAAGCTCAGCTCCCCCACCACGTCAAAGGCGTACCACTGGAACCACTCCACCATGTTGATCGGGTCCCTGCGCTGTGACGGCGGAACTGAAGGGGCTATGGCGATCTCGTCCATGCACTGGATGAAGAGCGTCACGGTTGAGTCGACAAACTCTTCCAAGGCCATGAGGGCAGACATGGAGAACGCTGGTGCGACATTGCGCTTCATGCGCTTGTGTTCGACTGGATCAATAACGGAGAAGAGATTGGCGTCGTCTGGTGTTGGGAAACCAAACATGTAGTACCAGTCTGTCTTTTTCGTGTAAGTGGTAATTCAACTGCACGATGTCTTTGAAGGATGCGAGTTCACCTTGACGAATCTTTGTTCATTATCAAAGATGATGGGGATAGCTTCTGGGTCTGCGATGGAGACTTCGTTATAGGCGATGCGGACGATGGGGCCTAGATCATTCAGCTTCAACAATGATAGCACATTCAGCTTGATGTATAGACTGACCGAGCTTCCTGTGCGCTTCTAACAAGTTCCTCTCAGCACGAGTTGACAGCACTTGGAGGACCTTGTTCCAACGGCTCACCGTTGCTAAGAAGCTGACTGCAGGGATATCTCTCAGGCTGGGAACATAACGACGATAGAGAGCGCGAAGGACAAAGGCGGCCAGGCAGGCTACGAACCAGTGGCTCGAAAGCACCTGGAGCAGGTTTGGAAATGACATTGCGCTGTTTTCGTATTCGTGAAGCGCTGCCAAATTGTTATTAGTTGTCGACTATGGATGAATTGATACATCATGATATAGAGTCTTCATGATTCGCTCGGTGCTCAGATTATCGGTAGCGGACTATTCCGTAGTCCTTTAGAGCTGTGTAGTTTCACAGCCACGCGTACTAGGGGGAGATAGGATAGATCCTTGGGAGGCACTTTTGATGCTGTGGTACTGATGACCCTGCATATCCCACGTAGAACCGTTGCATTGTATACATATCTTGAAAGCCTATATTTGGACCGATGTAACTCCCCGACTCGGACGCGCTCCACAAGCGCCTTAGGGAGCATGTCTATCGTTAGACATCGATCTTGGCAGCCTCTCCACCATATCTAGAAGTCACAACCGAGTAAAACAGGTTCCCCGCCGTCATGGTTAGGGCGGCGGAAACGAACTGTTCCTCCTTGGGGGACAAGATTCTTCCTTTGGCAAGCCTCTCCAGCTCCTCCTCCATCTGAGCCTCCACTTCCAATTGCACGCTGTAAGTGACGGCCTTGGCGGCAGAATAGGAAGCCAATCCCAGCAGGCGACGCACGACGTCGACCGCGTTGATCATGTAGCAGACCTTGCCATCTTCAAGGGCCTTGAGCTCCTTATCGAAAGAGGCCAGGTCATTGACCAGCGACACGTGGTCGCTAACCAGACGTAGGATCCTGGCCATTTTGGGATCCTCAATCACAACGTCGGACTCTAGCGAGAACTTCACACATGCCAAGATATACCTTGCAAACATTCGATTATTAGATGCGGGTCGGGCCTTTTGTAACAGGGAGAAGCGCGCGCGCGGGAGTTGGATGAAGATCGAACTTACGGGACACCCGCATCAATGTTGCGGTAGGACAAGTAGTCTGCCAGGCTGGCGAAATTCGACTGGGGCGGGACGTGTCGACAAAAGTCCGCCAGTCGGTCAATCACCTCCTGGCCTCCGTTGCCGGCGATCTTGTCGTGACTCTTGAGTCCATCTACAACGTAACCGATGAGCGACTGCAGCTCGGACTTGGACTTTTCTTTCTCTCCGTTAGATTCCAGGCGACGGAGAAAGTCATCACGAACAACACCGAGCTAGAATCCTGGGTTAGTGATAACTCGGTGGTAGGGATCAGCTTTGCAGGGATGGACATCGTACCTTGTCCTCGCTATGCATCTCCCATGAGTCTGCGGAAGGTTTTAGTAACTTTGGAAGGCAAACAGGTCTACATTCTGACTTACCGTCAAAGATGACAATGAATACAATCGTGGCTGCGAGCAGGCGAGTTCTCTCCTTGTCTGCTTCAGGGAACAGGTACGTGGCAAATTTGGTAAAACGGTCCTCTTCCGGTAGCAAAAGTTCGTGAGAAGCAATCTTGGCGAGGGATCTGCCGTTGAGCTTGACAGCAGTGAACATGCTGGAGTCAGTGCTGAACAACTCCAGCAGCTCTGAAGAGATTCTCAGTCCGGCCTCCCAGTGGCGGCTTTGACGTGCCTTGGGGAATCCCGTCGGCCAAGGCAGACCAGCTCGAACAGGGAAGATGTCGAATCCATTAACATCAGTAGGCTCGTCTCCTCCGTCGGTAGAAGGGGTACGGCACTGCTGGAGCCGCTCGTAGCCAGCCAACGGGAGTAGAGAAGTCTTAAGATCCAAATAAGGAGCATCGTGGAGCCAGTTGTAGGCGTACGCAATTTGTGAGACATCTTGCAAATTCTCTGGGGCACAAATGTTCCCTGTAAAAGCATGAGAGTGGGATAATATGGGTAATACGGCACTAAGAGGCGAGCTTACCGTTGACGGAGGACACGCTCAACTTTGATGAAGGCATTTTGGGGACTTGGTTATTTCGTTTTCTTGATCTGGTGTGTAGTGTTACATGAGAAACCTTCACCGTCAGTCGTTGAATTTTGACCCTCTTATACCCTGAAGCTCATGAGCTATCAGACCGGCCATAGTCATGGGAAATCGGGCCATGACTTAGAAGTGAGGTCGTCGAAGGCATGGCCAAACCACGGAAGAGCGTCCCGGAGAGTGTTGCAGGGGCCGAAGATCCATGCAGCAGCCATATTAAAATGGAAAGGATCTTGCAGAATAGTAATATTTGAGTTTCTTGGACGTGACCCGAAACGTAGGGGTGGCTGATAAGAAGGCTTGGGTTACTGCTGCCAGGTACTTTTGTTTACATGGCTTCCAAGGTAGTATCATTGAGGGACCCGCAGCCCATTTACAACGAAACATACTCGATAGGAAGCAGTTCAGACCCTGTTTTTCTTCCTAACGCTAGATAGTTTTCATATAAAGTTGAATTCTTAGATTTGGGTCCGCCTAACCGCTACCGCAGTGCCATATCTCGATTCTTGAGCTTGTTGTTAGAACTGTCTGTTCAAATCCCATCTTACATCATCTCACAATGGTTTGGAACCATACCAACCTCGCACTTGACGCACTGAAGTCTGGCATCATCTTTGCTACCAGCCTTTGGGTCTTATTTTGGCTTGCAGAGTGCATTCGAAACATCTATTTCCACCCACTCTCCAAGTTCCCAGGACCAAAACTAGCCGCGGCCACCAGCTGGTGGTCGACATATCAGCAGACCATTGTCAACAGGTCAATGCATCATATTTGTATAGATCTTCACGCTAAATATGGTACCGCGCTGTCCCTTAATTCGCGTTCATTGATCATTCTGACCTCTGAGTGCAGGAGATATCGTCAGAATTGGACCCAACCGGGTAAGAAGTTTAAAGCTTGGGCAGCCCTTGAGCGCATGGTTACTAATGACGATATAGCTTCACTTCAACCATCCTGACGCATACTCTGGGATCTACCGCACCAAGTTTGACAAAGATCCGTTCATGTACGCTCTTCTGGGTGGGGATGGCGCCACCGTCACTTTTGTCAAACATCAAGACAACAAGAATCGCAAGGACATTCTCCATCCATTTTTCTCCAAGAGCTCTGTTTACAACCGAGAGCAACTGATCCAAGAAAACGTAAGAACATTCTATCACACTCAATCAAATATTTCTTTGCTTTCTCTCATCGAATTGGTGTTTAGATCGATAAGTTCTGCTCAAACTTGGTCAAGCATTACGAGAAGGGCGTCTCTGTCAACATGAGTCTCGCTTTTCGGTGTATCGGTCTAGAGACAATCACGTCCATCTGCTTCGGCAAATCGGCAGCTTGCTTCGAGCATGAAGATTTCCATAGCCCGATTC